CTTCCTTCCTTCCTTCCTTCCTTCCTTCCTTCCTTCCTTCCTTCCTTCCTTCCTTTCCTCCTTCCTTCCCTCCTTTCCTCCTTCCTAGCTTCCTTCCCTCCCTCCCTCCTTGCTTCCTTCCCCAGCTCCTCTTGCATTTTTATCGTTTAATTTTTTTTGATCCTGATTTAATTTTTTTTGATCCTGATTTAAGTATTTTTTGATCCTGATTTAATTTTGTTTAACCCCTATCCCCTGAGCACAACATCTTTCACAGCAAAGGCAAAACTAGGCTAATTGTCTAACATACGACAATAATGAGGAGTTTCGAGAGAGGGACGCCGGTTCTGAAATAAACCTCGGAGGACTCTCGCGCTGTAAGCCGGACTGGAAGTAGCTGGAGGCAGCTGAAAAAGATGAGCACACGAAACACCGATGCCCAAGACCGTCATCAGCATGAGTTCGCCTCCGTTTACACACACACACACACACAATCCCGGAACGCTGGGATTGCACGATAAAAAGAGGAGCATCAACGATGCTGCAGATTGCTTGCCAGCTTGTTTTAAGCCGACTAGTTCTTCCCCCAAGAGCTGCAGGACCCATTTCTGCGCACGCACGAGCACAGATTCAGGGCTGTGTTTTGACAGCTACCTAGCGAAATAGCAGTAGACCTGGCCGGCGCGAGGCTACACAGTGCATCACAGTGCAGCTTCACAGCGAGACTCAGTCCTCCAGCCAGGAATCCGAGACATCTGCCCGGTAGCTACCTCCCGAGCCAATGCTCAAGAATTCTCACAGCTGTGGAGATCCCTACCTGCAGAATCCTCGCTGCCAAGGTGACAGGAGCTGATTTTCTTTCCGTGCCCATGGAGGACCTGAGCTAACAAGCACTCCACAGCTCGGCGATCCGCAAAGAAAGACTTTCCGGGCAAAGCAACCCAAAGCGGCGTCTGAGCTCTGCACCAGGGCTTCACAGCGTCCACCGGCACAGTCCACAGCTGCATCGATGAGTCCTGACCAAATGGAGCCACAACATACGGCAGGCGCAGCGTGAATTTGGACTTCTGTCCTTCCCCCAGCACTGGTGGACAAGGTGCCTGAAATGCGAGATGAATTGAAGGGGCGATAAGATAGAAGGGCAGGCAGGCAGTTGTGTAGCTGCTCGTATTTATTTGTGCAAGACTGAAGAGAAAAGGCTTAAGAAAGCGTGGTATGACGACAGATTGTGCTTACCATGACGATATGACGATCCAAATCAAAGAAGCCCCTACAAGTAGCTGCTAGCTGGCAGGCGCAGGAGAACCCCACAAAGGATGCAGTCAGACCAGGTAAGCCTCGTCAAAGACCGCCGATACCGGCACCTGTGCCGAATGATTCTGATCCACGACCGCACTGAAGAGCAACAGGCCGTCCTCAAGCGGACTCACAGTGGCAAAGGGCAGGCAACGTCGGATTCAACAGGCATCAGAAGGCTGCCGCCGGTGGGCCGAGACCAGAAAGCGCTGGCCCTTCGCGTCGCAGGCCAGGCCCTGGGGCCTTGGAACACGCCGCGACGGGACCCGAAATCCACATCTCCACACTCAACCGACCGCTCGCTTTCCCCCCCCCAATTGGGCCAGGTCCGGGTGGCAGGACATTTTCGTAGGGCCACGAAACGGCAAGGATGTCCTTGCTGGTCAGGTGCTCCTCTCCTGGCCGCTCGTTGCAGGTGGGGGAACGTTGGAGACTGAGCAGAATATTTCGAAAGTGCGCTGCAGCTAAGTGTTGGGGTTAATGTGCTTCGAGAACACCCCACAGTCACAGGCAGCACTGCTCCTCTAGATTGCGGACATGTCTAGTCTACATCGACACCTGGCTCAAGACAGGAAACAAACCAAAAGCTGGAAAGCCAAGACGCCAGGACTGCTCTCGAAGAAAGAAGTCGTCCAGGGAGGAAAAGCCGATCCTCCCAACCCGCCACACATGTTGCAGAGAAGCTTCAGCTCATCAGTCGGAAGTCCGCTGTCCACTTCGTTTGCAGGCAAATGTCGCTGCAGTAGAGAAGTGGCATTCTCACTTTGAGAATACGTTGCGGAAGTTCTCGTCAGGATCTCGCAGTAAGCGCACCCAAATGCACTGTGGACAGGGCTATGAAGAAATGTTTGCGCAGTGGCGAGACCGAAAATCTGCCAGGTCGCATGCGCAGCATCCATCGCATAATAGCCAGCAGCTGACAACCACAGGAAGCAAAGCCTTGCAGGCTCGAAAGGTATCTTGCTTGCTTGGCCTGACTCTGCAGCTTCCGCAGTTCTCTTTAGGAAGCTACATTCACGAAGATACGTTGGTGCCGACGCCAGAGCTTCGAAACCGCCAACGGTTCTAGAGCCAAGGCACATGTTCATGGCAAACGAGAAAGTCTGCTGTGGTAGAACAATGGGTGCTTCCCGTTCGCCTGGGCTGGAGTTTGCAGATCGCATGGTCACCCTATCGCCATTCCAGCTGGAGTTGAGACACCGCACGTTCGCACTCGAACACAAAAGTTGCCCAGCGAGCTGCAGCCTGTGACCACTCCCGAGTCTTCCGGGAGGTTGCTGGTGGTGCTCAGCCAGCTGCGAGCATTGTAGAACTCGGAATAGTCGCCCTCGACCTTGCCATGAGCTGCTGGCTGCTAACTCTCTCTAAACGCATACCAAGCAAACACAGAAGCTCAAGTTTCAGCACATTCTGTAGATCTCTGCGCCAGGATACCAAGTCTTGGAAGGATTGTGCCTGTGGAGCCCCCGGCGTGCAGGAGTAGTCCGTCGGTGCAGACAGCTCCTCGAAGGGAAAGGACCGGCATGCAGCAAGGCACGGTCTACCCGGCTGGGAGAGCAATCGAGAAGCGAAAAATGGTCCCCTTATGGGACTTACGATGAACAAAACAAACAAAAGTTATGGTGGGTGCAGGGTGGACGGCGAAGGCGGTGGCAGAGAAGGCCATTCAGTAGCTGGTGGCCGTATGAGTGGTGGGAGCGGTGGTGCACATGCGTTGATGCCCCCCTGCACTGTGCCATGGTCGGACGGCGGGGCGTGCGCTCTCACGTCAACACTTTCCTTCTGCCTTCCACATCAAGTACAGCTACAAAGCAGTCCTCTGGACGATGCGCCTTTGCCTGGCCACTCTCAGCGTACTCGACCATGCCCTCGGTTCCCGAGCATTGCATATGACAGCAAACCTCTCACGTGCATCTACTTGTAGCTTCTGCAAAGCTGCCGTGGCTGGCTTAGTCGTTGCATTGGCCGCACCTTGCGCAAAACGCTCGCTTCCAGCCTGCGGATGTCAATGTGCCGTCTGCATCAGCTCCGAAAGATGTTGCCAGCACGCATCAGTTGCGGTGTCAGTTCTACACTTCGAGATTTTCGGCAACGAGTGCACATCAAACAACCATGTACCAGGCCTCACTGAAAGTCGCATGCGACTCGGAGACTGCACTGCTGATCTGATGTCGGTGTGCCTGCAACTATGTTGTCGGGGCGGGCGAGCTTCGATTGAGTAGAGCTGCTTCGCGTTTCTTTCAAAGTCATCCTGCCTGTGCAGCTGAGGACCAGCCAAACACGTCAAGGTACAACACCTGCCAGGCAGAACATCCCCCGGAGCTCGCAGCATGATGCACAATCATGTTTATGCAGACACCGCGAGACCCTGCTGGGAAGTGCAGAATTTCGTGCCCAACACCTTTTCGAATGCATGCTACACCGCGGCTACGCCTGATTTCTTTAGTATGCTTTGACTGTATAGATGAAACTACATTGATGCTGGCAGATGCAATAGCTAATATGGCTTATCATTCAGAGTTCCGGCTGCAGACTCCGGACTCATCAGCTGCAACGCGACAGGCAGACTGAATTAAGCGGGGTTCTGAAGGGGACATCCGAAGTTCGTTGCTCGTAACATGGTTCTCAAAGGCTGAATCAAGTTCCTTGCTGACCAGGGACAGATCGAAAGGCTACAGGAAGTCGAGCGCCGTTGTGCTCCATGTGCATTCGGCACAAAGTGTTCATGGTCATCAGATACCTTGCTGCCAGAACCACTTGAAGAAGACTCTACTGAATAAAGACAACCTTTTGGCCAGGTTGTTGCCCTCCCCAAAGCGCTGCGAACATTCGTCCAGGCCACAGGGCATGTGCCAGAAACGCACACACAACTAGTGCTTCTGCTTGACGGTCATGGCCGTCCTCGACCTGAGCACACACGAGGACTAGTACTGCTCAACATGAGGTGCTGCTGCTACATGGCGATCACGATGCGAACATGATGCTTCGACGACAACGACAATGACACCGTCACCAATGGCAGCCACAGAAAAAAGTCATGCTGGCAGGGATGTTAGTGGTGATGGTGATGCGAGATAATGATCATGATGATGGCGCTGCCGACAACGATAGTGACAGTGATGATGTGGCTAAAAGGGATAATGGTGATGTCAGCGATGATAGTGATGGTGGTGACGATAGAGGTGAAAGTAACGATGGAGATGCAAGGGATAATACTGAAAGTGATAAGAGTGACACAAATCATCACACCATCATCATGATAACGGTGACGGTGGTGATGATGACAACGACAGCAGTGGGTTGGAATCATGATGCTGCTGATGATGGTGATGATGATGATGATGATGGCGATATTGATGATGATGACGATGACGATGATGATGAAACTGATACTACATGATAAGTTTCTCATATGGTATAACGTTCTGATATGGTAAGATGAGGATAGGGATGCTGCTTACAAAAAGTGATTAGCTGTGGTGATGGCGAGAATGGTATGCCATGCCATGCCACATCATGTCAGCTCTGTTCGCCTCGTATCAGCTCATCTGGTGTTGTGTCGCGTCAAGTCATGTCATGTCACGACATTCTCATCATCATCATCATCATCATGATCATCAGCGGCAGCAGCAGCCGCCGCGACTTTGTACCAATTTTCGTCAGGGATTGCTCTTGCTGCCGTCACAGTGTTGCTGCTGCTGCCGCCGCGGCTGCTGTTGCAGATGCTGCTGTGGCTGTGAGGATCATGATTCCAAGAGCAAGTTTCTGTTTGCCCGTGAGAAAGAAAGCATGCCTCCCAAACCAGGCAGACCAGACCCTGGGACCTCTGCCAAAACAGTCCTGCGCAGGCTGCTGGAGAACCACACAGCTTGTCCTCCTATCCCTGGATATGGCCATATTTGCAGGTTGTACCGTCGTGAAGAACTCAACAAGCTGTTTACGACACGCCTTGCTCAAAGCAGCGTGTATTGTCCGTTTCTTGTAGAACATCGAGCTAAAGAGCTGAACACTATGCAACTGGAAGGGACTTCGACCTTACTCCAAGATCGTAGCGAACGCACCGAAGCAAGCATGAAGTACGATCAACTCTCTTACTGGCTCCGGAGATCTCTGCAAGACCTGCGATAATCTTTGCAACGTCTTCATTTGGAAACATAGTCTCGCTACAAAAGAATAAGAGCATTTCCAAGATGAGGCCAGTCACGTATGCCCATCCAGCCAGCGTTGCAATTGCAGGTCCCAGATACAAGAACAGCTGCATGAGGCGAAGCTGCCACCATGTCAGAGACATGTCCAGCCGATTCAACGTTTCGGCCATAGTTGTCAGCACGACAACACCTGGCGTTCATGCAGGGTGCTGCAAGTGGCTTCGACAAGTTGGCAAACAACAGCTGCATGCAACTAAGACTCCATAGGTTGCAGACGATGGAACCTTGACCTCTGACATGTAGTACGCCAGGATGAAGTAGCTTGCTGCATTCAGCAGCTGGTTCACCCCAATGCTCATGCAGATTCGCGCGAACGCATCGTAGCTTTGCCAGAACACCATCGCTTGCCGAGCCAGCTTCACATGTCGAAGCTTCTGCACACCTGCAGCTGACAAGCATAGCCGCTGAGACAAGCTCGAAAGGCTCGCAAGACTCAAGCTCGTCTCTCGCAACTCTCTGCCAGGTGGCTGTGGCCCATCTTGCACCCGAGCTCAGGAATGTCTGTGCCCGAGCCCTCCAGGCCCTGAGCTGGAGAGTCCAGGATCACATGCTTTGAGAGCCAAGAAATTTGGGAAGCTCCCTTAAAGCTAAAGCACAGGTCTAAACCAGGCTGGTGCTTCGTGATTGGGATTTGGAACAACAGGATCTGGAAAATAGACACGTCCGCCAAGTGGCCCAAGGGTCCACGTGCCGATTCGCTTCTCCAAACCTTCCGAGAGGTGTCTGCTCGCGCTTAGGCGCACGATGGGGAGGGGTCCTCGTCTGCGGAACGACTGTGCCACGCTGCTCAAAGTTGGCAACACTACCGTCGGGCATGGGTCTAAGAAACCCCTCCTGAACAGTCGTATGCACGGTCGATGCTGGCATCTACCCGGAATCTACCCATAAATTAATAAAGCTTGTTTTCAAAGGGCATGGTGAAGAGGGGGCACACTCGTTTGGAAGAATACCCCACGCGGCGAACGGAAGTAGCTGGACCTTCCACAGTCTCTGCTCTGTTCAGTTTCGAGGTATCAATACAAGCTTGCCAGGGGCTGCTCTACAGGCAAACGAGCACAGTCATGGTCTGCCAAGTGCCTGGTGCAAGCTTGCCAGTTCAAGCAACCCTCAAGAGTTCCAATTTGGATCTATGCCTTCTGCCTGCAGGGTTGAGGTTCTTCTCTGGAAGGGTTAGATTTTGAAGGAAACGCTCGAAGGTAGGAAAGGCATAAAATCGACTTTAAATCCTTATACGTGCTGCCCTGGTCCGTGGAGAGATTCAAACCGAACTAAGTCCTTGTTAGGTTATTGCGGCGGTCAAACTGGAATTTATGCTGCCCTGGTATAGCTAAAGAACTTGCTCGAATCTAATCCTTGTTGGGTTGCCGGGTAGAAAAAATTCGAACTAAAGGCCAGTAAGGTCTCGTCGCAGCAAGGCTAAAAATGGAATTAAAAGCATTTACGCTTTCGTACTAGCAGAGCCTAAACTCGAATTTAATCAGTCCAGGGTTTCGTCATAGCTGGGCTTACAACTGGATTTGACAGGCTTGAAGGCTTCATCATAACATCCAAAGGTATGGTCTACTGAACTCCATGTTTGTTCATATGTGTGAGAGTACCTGTGTGTATGCATGTATGTATGTATGTATGTATGTATGTGTGTACGTGTGTGTATGTGTATGTATGTATGTATGTATGTATGTATGTATGTATGTATGATTATTTATGTATGTATGTATGTATGTATGTATGTATGTATGTGTGTACGTGTGTGTATGTGTATGTGTGTATGTGTGTATGTGTGTATGTACGTATGTAAACCCTGAAGCCTAAACCCTAAGGCCCTAAACACCTAAACCCTAAACCCTAAACCCCAATCGAACAAGGTAGAATTCCAGATTCAGTAACGGTTTTAATGCGAATTTATGCCTTTCGCCTGATCCCCGACCAACCCAGGCCTGGTGGAGGAAACAGGGGATGCATCCACAGGAGCAGCTGGTTCCTGCAAAATCTGCAAAACAGCCGACAAGCTTCATGGTTTGAGGTGAGTCTAGCCGAGAGGTTGTTTCTAGAGTCTAGAACGAAAGGAAATGTGGACGTCACATTGCTTCTATGGCAAAAAAGCCCGATTGTGCGGCTGTATGTGAACGTTGTACGCGCGGCCTCTTCCGCTTCTTCAGCAAGACCTTCCTGCGGCCCCATGGCAAAAGGCACTCCTGAGTGTCTTCTGGACCAGTCTGGCCAATCTCATGGGACAGGCTGCTTCGAAGGAGTCTTATGTTTTGACTGACTGATGCATGTGCGCAGATCTTCGGGTATGCCAGCTTCAACCATGACATCTGTCGGATACGATTCAGGACCACTTTGTGGAGCAGGAAGGTAACAATTGAGCTTGTTGTCGGTACGAAGTCGCTTGCACGGTACTGAGCCCCGGTACTGCAGGTTCTGAGCGCTTTCAACTAGCATGACGAGTGTAGCTAGCATTCCTGGTCATGCGAGTGTAACTCCATAACTACGGTCCCGGCAATGTGTATATTGATCCTATTACTCGCAGTGTTCGATTTTTTTCACGACTAGCTTACCAACACGCAGACAGTTAGCGGCTACTGCGGCTTGTTTGCAATACTCCTCCGACCACTCCTCCGAGAAATACTACCTGCTGGCTTTTCTGGGAGCCGTGTGTTTTCCGCGGTGCCAGCGTTGCTGGTTTCACTGGCATCGTCAAGGATCTTTTGCTAATCGTAGAATGTACACTTCACAATCTTGTTTTGTCAGCGCGGAATACTACCACCACTACGGCAATACTGCTTCTACACCAAGTTCATTTCTGTTCTTGCTGCACTCGCCTGTGCATTCCGCTTTCAATTCAATGCCAATGCGGCTGGAGCCAGCTAGACCAGACTGCAAGAGACCCAATAATTCTGGCCCTTGCTTGTGGTCAGACACGACAAGACGAGGACACACAAGACATGAATCCGAACCAGAGGTCGGAGGTCGGCGTTGCTCTACCTTCCCGTGCTAGTTAGATGCTTGGACGGTGCTAGTTAGATGCTTGGACGCAAGCGATACTGGGGCTGAAGACAACAAAACAATGTTGATGACGACCAACAGGGGGTAGGTTTCAACTTCACACCCCAATCTATGCTCTCTCGCTTCTGATTCTGCGCGACTGAGGAGACGGAGAAACTTGAAGCATTGACTGTGGCGTTCGCCACATGCCTGACCCTTACATTTCTGGCAGGCGTGGTGAGGGTTTAATGCTAAGGAGGCAGCGGTCGTCATCGCAATGACGTGACACGGATTGAGCCGAGGAGCGAAACATCTGTTTGGCCTCCAACCGCTCGAACTCGGAGGCATATGTTCGGCAGGCCTCAATCTCCTGGCGAACACATGCGGCTAGCAGCGGCTAGCACTCAGAACACAAGTAATCTGCAAAGTCTGCATCCGCCTGCCAAGATGGAATCGGCAGCCGAACCATCTGTGTCAGTAGTCGGGTCTCGAAGCTTTGTGCCGAGACTGCAGCATGCCTTGGATCTGCACAGGGCAAAGAATTCATCTCAGATCAATACAGAAACACTTTTCAGTGGGACTTGGACCAACAAGCCTTCAGAAGATTTCGCAGTTCCAGTCGGTGCTTGAGTTGCGGTCTCAACCACAAACTGATGCCGGAAAGCGAGAACATCGAGGGCAGAGTTTGACCACAGAAGTAACAAAGTCAGACAACCCTACCGCGAATTGCCCCAAAGCACAAAAACTAAACGCCCTACTGACACTCTGGAAAGCTGGGTGTTTGATCTGCGGTTTCGCATCTTGTCAGCCTAAGGAGGGGCTCTTGCGGACTCAGCATGGCTTGACTCCGACTTGCTGACTCGAGTCGGACGCGTTTCCGAGAAATCCTTGGAGATCTTCCGGCCACACCGCTTCATCTGCACGCTGAATATAATCGCCAAACCCGTAGTACTATAAATATTACTCTTGGTGATCAAGCTTTTAGCAGGGCTCATTACGTTTGAGCTTCCCATTCCTCAGGGTTTGTTTCGGTGACACATTCATGAGCGACGCTGGGCCGTTTGCATGTCAGTGTTTCGTTGTTGAGGCTCCCAATTGCGAGAAACTTTGGTGTCATCACATTCAGGTAACTGGGAATGCTGCCGTTTAATGTTTTGCAGTGGCTTTAATCACCTTTGAGGCAGGCGTTTAGCAAAACCTTTGAGTTGATGTCACAGCTTGGTAAGATATACGAGAGCAAGTAAAAAGCATGATCAGCATAGTCAGGAGTTTGTCATGCTCTACAGTCGTTTTATCTTACGGCAGAGTAATTCATATAGTCCAAAATACCTATGCTTGCAAAACACTGGAAGTGCTACAAACAATAGAATATGCAGAATCATCATACGGCAGAAATATATTCACATGAAATCAACACGAAATCCCCAGAAGCACTAAAGTCAAGAATCCTACACTCGAAAAATCATAAGCATGAGTTCATTAGCATTGCGCAAAGAGGCCTCTAATCCCTGAATAGGAAACCCTTACCCAAAGACACGAAACACGTCGGAAAAAATGTTTGAACTTTGAACACGCAACTGAAAAGTCCGAAATCCAAACACTGAAAAACACGCCAAACAACACCAACACCAACAACAACAACCACAACAACAACAACAACGACGACGACGACGACGATGACGACGACGACGACTACGACTACGACTGCGACTACGACTACGACTACTACTACTACTACCACCACCACTGCTACAACTACTACAACAACTACTACTACTACCACCACCACTGCTACTACGACTACGACTACTACGACTACGACGACGACGACGACGACGACGACTACTACTACTACTACTAAGCTACTACTACTACTACTACTACTACTAGGGTTGCGCGCCTCCTGGCGCCTGGTAGTTTTATCTGGTTCGAGGGTACAAAATGCAGGTTTTAACACAATTTTTAGGAAATGCAGTTAAGCGAAGTTCTGTCCAACTAATTGGGAGTACTACTACGTACGCTGAACATGATGATGATGATGATGATGACGATGATGATGATGATGATGATGAAGATGCTGAGGTTGACGACTATGTTGAGGATGATGTTGAGGATGGCGGGGATGATCAATGTGAGGATGATTTTATGCTGCTCCTGCCGTGATTTATCTNNCTGCTGCTGCTACTCCTGTTACTGCAAAACGCAAGCACTTGGGCTGTCAACCATATCGTTATTAGCCCCCCCCCCACCCCCCCACCCCCCATACCCCAACGAAGTCCCGAAACCGAAATGGAAACCGAAATGAAAAGTCCCACACGATCAAAACCTCGAGTGGTAAAACCTGCACCGAAAAATCCCGAAACCTGCGAAATACACGGAATCACTAAAGAACATTATACCGTGTTTTAAACCCTTCGTTTGGCAGGCCGCAGACCCTGCAGTCCTACGTTTCTGCGACCTCCCGCGGCGATAGGAACCCAACTCAAACGTTCTGGCACGCACTAGCTCTTGCGATCGAAGGGTTTCGGATTCTGGGATAATTAATCCCCAAGCTCTGCGAGAGCGAGAGAGAAATAGAGAGAGAGCTTCGATACATGTTGCTAAAGGTCCCCAACCATCTAACGAGTACCTTTCAGAGGCATTATGTCCTGTAGTCTTGCCCCGCTCAAAATAGTCGTCCGGTGCATTCCGGGCCAGATGCTCCCCGACAGCAATGTTTGGCATTAGGGCAGTCTTGAGTAGCCGGAGGCGAGGGCAAAGCTGCTCGTGAGTGGACCATGCAATCTTGAGTCCGGGTGTTGCGGGCATGCAGTGTTCTGGAAGCACTTTGGACTGCCTGGAAAGCGCTCCCCTTCCTTCCACCATATCTCCTAAAAGCTTCAAAAAAAGCAAACCCGAATGTTCAAGCAGACTCGGGCATCTGTCTACCAATACCTGCTTGCCAAAGCCTGGGTGCATGGCCATCCAGATGGAAAGCAAGATAAAGGAGAACGATCCAGCCATTGCCAGCGCGCTGCCCGTCATAAGCCAGACCTGTGACATCAAGGCATAATGTCTTTTCCGGAGCTTCTGCCCGGTCGCGGTGACTCAAATTCTTTCAAAGGCGCAGGAGTCGTGTGCGGGAGCTTGCCCTGACACCAGAGAGCCACGGTGATTCCAAGCAGCAGGACATTGACCAGCAAGTAGACGTGCATCTTGTATTCCTTGGCAGAGAGTTGAAGAGAGATTTGAAGATCCCTGAAACACTGTCGAATGAATACGACAACGTGGCCCATGTTTTAACAAAGTGACGGTTAGCGAAATAAGATCCCGAACATCTCTGCGCCACAGTTCGGCTTGGTCAACACGGAAGCATTGTATCTGCAGGTGCAGGTGCTCACCAGTCACCACCGGGCAAACTCGAGACATGTCGCGAATGAAAATATGAGCAATGTGCAGGTTCCACCTGAAACTCTTTGCGTCGTCGCAAGTTGCGATCCCAGAGAAAGTTCTCGCGATTGTACTGAAAGGCCTCCTGGAGAAGAGCAATGGCAGTTTCACCAGCGGCTTTAAACCGGCACAGCCGGGGCCAAACCTACGGATTTACGAAACCACTGCCTTCAACTCCGGGCACTCGGAGTTTTTACATACATCTCCGCAGATCGGCCAGTCCAAGAACGAGATCAAATTATGCAATCGGACATGCTCTCTCAAGCTGGCCTTGGCTGCGAAGCCGCCACCTGCCGCCAGGCCTCCCATGTCATGCACACAGTAGGTTCACCTTCGGGTTCTATGCACACCGTCCTGCAAAGCACTCTGCCATGACCGCTGTGGTTTCGGTCAGGGAAGACTAGCCTCAGCATCAGCAACCACTCCACCATAGGAAGGTGCAGAGAGCCACAGTCAGCCCACTGCAGTTCACGAGAGGTCCAAGAACAAATTAGATCTCCAGAGCAAGCATGGGACGTGTGACTGCATCCCAGACACTGCGTTAGTCGAGGATCGTGTGATGCCCGCAGTTGTCTGAAGTACGGGCAGCGCGGGTCACTATCGGACTACTTCATCAAGAATTCATCACTGGCTTCCGACCGTATGGTCGTTCGGCCTTGAGCCAATCTGGCTACGACAGCGCTGAGCCGTTCTTTCGCTTACCCGCCGAGTTGATCATTCTCAATGTCGCTTTCGACCTCGTGTCTTTCTGGGACCTGCAGACTGTCTGGCATGGCCTGGAAGCAAAGCTTGATCTCGACGTCGGAGGAAGGGCGAGTCAATCACCAGCGGGATCCTGATTCACGGTACGAGTAGTGCGGCAACTGAAAATCGTCCGTTAAGCTTCAACCTGATTTCCGACCAAGGTTCTTTGCTCGCTCCAATTCTTCATGCATCCTCTCAGCCTGTAGAGAGCACCACCTGAAGCCTTGAAGCCTTGAAGCACTCTGAGCTCTGAGCACACTCTCAGCCCTCGCGCCTTCCGGCTTAGCTTCGCTGGCAGTTCGGAGAGGCTCTCGAAGCGCTGCACCAACCAGGAGCTCTTCCTCTCGTTGCTTAAACAGTGCTGCGCTCGCACGCGCCCAAAGAGGAGGCATAATATCAATAATATCCTTAAGGTCCTTAAGCCAAGACAGCCAAGACACGCTCGCAGGGCCAATCGAAGGGCCTGGACAAAGCAGTTTTCAGCAGGAGTCCACGCTTCCAGCCGTGATCGTTTCCTGCTTCTTGTAGCTTATTCTGTGATGACAGACTGCAGACATCTGCAGACTGCATGCCAGAGTGTGTCTGGGCTCACATCATCCTGCTTGCAGCTTGATGCAGAGCATAACTCTGCACAACCCATTCTAAGCAGCGCCTCCAGAACCTTGGGCGTGAGCTTTGCCTGTGGGAGGTTGTCTGCCCTTAGCAGCTTCACCTGGTCATGACTGACAACTGCGTCAGACTGTCTGGCACAAAGTGATCCACACCGAATGCAGCATGCCTCTGGCGATGCTGCCGTCACAGTGAGTGGCTCCGGTTGTTGCAAAGCAATGGTGGTCCTCGGCAGTCTCAAGTACGAAAGCATTGAAACAGCCCCGCACGATTTGCAAGCCGGGGCGAAGACAGCCCCACCGCCTGGCCGACCTCCAGCAAACCCAGCTCCACGGTGGCACTGAAGAACCTTCCCAAGCGCTTTTTGTCACTTCTAGCTGCCACCCATAACGAAAAGGCTGGATTTACCAGCCACGGCTCTCTCAGTTCGGTCCGGCCTGCGCTTTGTCTTCGGCGCGTTGGCCTTCAAACAACACCGACGCAAGGCAGGAAAGCGTAGTGGAACGATTGCTCCGAGACACATGCTTTTCCCTGTTCCTCCCCTCTGTCGCTGGCCGATCCTCCGATGCAGAGCTTTCACTGTGCTTGTGATCAGCCTCCACGGGGCGCCTCCTGCAGAGGCTTTGGAGCTGCTGCCGCTTGAGAGCATCGGCCTCCAGCGATGAGCCACAGCGAGGAGCTTAGCTGCCCAGCCTCACAAAGGCGCAAACAAAACCGGAACTTGGTTGCTTGAAAACTCCCCACCTTCACCAGGACTGAGCCCTTGTGTCGAGTCTCCTGAGCAGCACCGGATCCCATGCGCTAGTGATTAAGTGGGCACCCTATGCAACGTTCTCACAAGTGATGGGGGGTCCTCCTTGAAGTGCGGTAACAACTTCTCGACAGTCTCGTCGTCGATGCCGCTCAAGCAGTTACGCAACAGCTCACCTTGCTCTACATCGGCGTTTTACCGTGCAGAATCGCCCAGAAAATTGCCCAACGCTTGAATCCCCTGCCTCGCGCAGCATGGCGTGTCGCGGCGCAGCGCCCAAGTGCTACCTCCCAAGCTTCCTGTCAATGTCGTATATGCCACCATCAATGTGCTTGTCACACTGGTACCTAGCGGTCCGTTGCTGCCGCAACATCAGAACTCTAGGGGCATGGTGTCTTCGCGTATGCTGTGAGTTTCTCCCTTGTGCGACAGGCTTGCCTTATGCGCCATCTGCCTCTCCAAGCCGTCCCCTTTATGCGAACATGGTTTTACTGATGGGAACCTGGTTTTCCTTACACGCCACCCCCACCGACCAGCTTGGCCCGTGCTGCAGTGCGATTTGGCCTTCACCAGGTGTAGAAATAGGTACACTACTCACTGCTGAAGCACATGTCTATGTGTATGTCTCTGCCCCTGTGATGTCTCCACCAAACCAAGCCAAGCCGAGCCCCGCCGCGCCAAGGCAAGCCATGCCATTGGGAAAAGCCAGGTGCACTGAAGGAAAAGCCAGGTGCGCAAGGGGAAAGCCAGGTTTGCATAAGGAAGGCAAAGAGGCAAAAAATAGAAACATTCGCATAAGTCATGCAACCATGTGCTGATGTAGAATCAGATGTTGTGCGCTCACGCCATGGGATCGACATGGCAGGGGGGCCGGTGGGGGGCAGCACGAAGACAGGAGCATCAGAAAAAAGGCCCACTGCGTAAGCATAAATACCCAGCCCTCAGACTCAATAAAGCTATCCCATGAGCTAGACCTGCCACACACGCGCCTCTGAAATGCTGAGAAGCACAACGTCCTGCCGCAATGTGGGAAACCAGCAATGCAAGACTCTGCGGCTGCACGGTTCAACTTTGCGATCGCGGCAGATTTCTCTCCTTGTGTGCGCGATACAGTGATGGCCCGACATTCGTGACCCAACCACCAAAGAAGTCCCCCTCATAGAACTCCGCCAGAACTTCGTCATGGTGCTCCTCCTTTGCATTGTCCTCCGCTTCCGTTTCCGAGATACACGAGCGAAAGGCCCAGAGTTGCAACATAACCCAATGCCTGCTTCTGCTTGCTGCACATAGCACCATGTGTCACAGACTGGCTCTGGGGCAGGCGAGGTGCAACGATCTCACCATTGACGCTCGTAGCATCTGCGTCACCTACAAGCGACTTCGGACCAGTCCGAATAGTCTGCGGGTCATTTTGACATGCTTTCTACTACAACCTTCACTGTCACTTACTGCTATTTGGGAGAGCAGACATAGCAATGTCAGCAGATCCTCAGCAGTTTAATCTCAATTCGAGGATGGTGCAGGGCTGGACAAGGCAGTCGACAGTTGCGAGAAAGACTACTGTTCTAGATGCAGATGGTGAAGATGGTGCCTGGATTGAGCATCGTGAGGAACACACCAACGTGACCCGTCGTTGGCTCGTCCGGGGCCTGCACATCAAACGAAGCAAAGCCCTATCTGTAGTAAGCCTCATCACTCACCTCCAGCACCGCAGTCGCAAATACCCCACCCAGTCGAACCAAACAACACAGGCAGGAAGAAAACTCTGCCTGCTGCATGTCTGAAGCAGCAGAGGTTCCACTACTGGAGTGGCCTTGGCACATGACAACCGACCTCTCCAGATTTTTGACAGTCCGTGTACTCCACGTTGACAGAGCCAAGTCATCAACTCTCGTGTTGTTGTGGTGGTTCCATGTCTTCTGGGACCGGCTCCTCCGGTGAGTCACGAGAACACAATCTGAGCTTCCATCCAGGCTATTCATACAGTTTCACTCCTCTTCCGTAAGCTCTGCCCTGAGCTGATCGAGTTGGATCTTCAGCGAGTGAAAGCGAAGCCGCTCCTGGCAATGCAGTTGACGGCAAGAGCAAACACGGTTCCGTGAGAACCGAATGCCTGCAAGCTGACACCCAGCGGCCGCATGCGTATCCTGTGTCTAACTGGCAGTTGACACAGACCAACAACAGGAAAGCCAGAGTGAAAGCCTGAGGATTCCTGCTTGAAGTTTCAAGAGTGCAAAAGAAACTCGATGCGTTGTAACATTCCACCAAACTTGACGTAGCTGTCAGAGCCTCTCGCGCAGCTCCGCCCACTCAGCTGTGCCCTGTTCCAGCCGCCGCCAAGACTCTTCTCGCTCCTCAACTCATATTTTTGCCAATATTGCTAGCTTATCCAGTCTGTTGCTCGTTCTTCAGAGTTCAGCTCCAAGTCACTCTCAGTTCACTGAAGCCCGGGTGGTAACACAGTAGCTCCTCCTCGGCACGGAGCTTTTCCTCCAGTCCAGAAGGTGCTTCCACGGATATCTCCTGCTGCTTGGCTGCTTATTTCAGAGATCTGTGTTCAATCCTGATGCTGTGATGCGGTCGGGTTGACTGCCGGCAGCACAGAACGTCTTAGGATTCGGACCATGCAGGAACTTCACAAAGAAGCTGGCAAAGCGTGGCGGGCTCTGGAAACCCGAAAATGGGGGCCAAGACCCAAGTTCAAACAACAACGACACATATATAAATGTAACCTGGTAGGTGCTTCATTATGATGTCTGACCGGCGGTTGCTAGTGCATTTGCATTCATGATGGTCACGGTGGTGGCTTCGATGTGCCCAGTCCTCTGCGAAAGATTCGGGTGAAGCAGTCAGTTCTGCTTCATATCGGCCCACGATGCCCTGGCAAGCTGTGAAAGGAGATGAAGCTCTTGAGTCAAGACTCTATGCTGGGCAGCTTGCACTGTCTAGAGCTAAGGCCGTAAGTCAACGTGCTTCCCTTGCAGCACGTACTGCTGCCTTCATGCCTAAAGTGCCGCGCTACACCGCTGAGGTCAACGTCGAGTCGCCTTGAGTACAACGAAAAAAGGAATCGAGTCCTCAGTTTCTGCTTCCGACAATGCTGGTCGAAAGCTTCTTGCAACATCTTTCGACTACGATTTCTGGACCCCGTGCAGCCAAGGCACGCTCTTTGGCAACTCAACAACTCCTGGCGCACGTCTCAGGTCAAGCAAAACTGAAGTCCGACGGCCGCCGCTTAAGAAACACCTGTGCACTGTGCGAATGCCGATATTGCGGGATACTGAGGGCATAGCGGGGAGTTGGCACGAACTGTACATGTTATACGGCTCCCTCTGACGGTTGTCCCAGCGAAAGCATTGCACACATTTTTCACAGCTGTGCGTGGCTGCTTGGTTAGCGTTGGAAACATGACTCGGCCAGGGAAAGCAAAGTCGAGCTGTCTCTGAAAGGTTTCCAGCCGAACCCATCAAGACCCCATAGTCTCGAAATCGAAGCATCGAGAGGCCGCAAAAGATCGGCTGCCCAAGGAAGTAGCCGAAGTGGCGCCGAGCTTGCAGTGCACGAGCTTTGTCACCACCGCTGAACCGGAGGGCCACTACGGGGAACACGTAGGAGCCACTGCTAAGGCCTATGGAAAGGTCGCCGACAGCTAAGAGCAGGAAGCTTGGCTCAAAGGGAAAGGCAAAAGCCGAGAAGCACTCTGAATCGCAAATCTGGAATCGGATGGAAGGTCGCCCAAGATATTCTCGGCGATTTCTTGAAAGTAATGTTGAAGAGTATGAATATGCTGAATGCTCAAGGGGCAGTTGCTTCACACAATTTCTGGGGCAGTGGAGCTCGATGGACAAGTGGTTCCAATTGTTCCCACCGTGAGACCATGTCACAGCAGCTTCTGGCACACGCCCGAAAATCTGAATATCGCCTCTGGGCAAATGGGATCAGATGCCGAAAAGCAGAGAGCGCGGCCCCGCACGAAAACAGATGCTCCTCATAGGAGCTGAGAAGAGCGCCGCTGTTCTGATAGCCATTCTTCAAACCCCTCCCACAATCTTTGCTCCATCGCTTGAGTTCGAGGCTCGACGAGAAAAACCTCTCGAAGAGTGACACCATCCCTAGGCGCAACGCACGCATCGCCTTGAACTGGCCAGGGATGAGATGCCTTTCCGATACGCCTACAACAGGCTCTGGCGCAGGAGGCTATGTCCAGTCGCTTGGCTTGAAGTCCGGGCGGTCGCTTGATGTTCCTGTCAACCCCATGGTTAGGCACAGCGAAACACCAAAAGGAGTGTTTCGGGGATCGCCCCCGAAGAACGGCATGAGAGTCACATCCTAGGCAGAGAATTTGCTGCCCTTGCAAAGCTGTATTAGTCAAGACTGTGGTTCTCTTGCACCATGCGGCACCGAATCGACAGCAATCATAAGTCCAAGCTCCGCCCCTGGTTTCCGAGCGAGCTCAACGACTTTTTTCAGCATTCAGATAAAGGAAGTTTGCGGATTCTATATCCAGAAAGGAAGCTGGATGCGGACACAGGTTTCACCTACATTGGAAACGGAATTGGCCATTCGGATTCCACCTGCAACTTTCGTTTCAGCAGCTTCAGCAAGGTTTGGCTTGCCATACGGGTAATCTTTGCTTCGCCACGCAGGTGTTACAGCCCGAGAAAAGCCGGCGCAAACCGGAGCAGCCCCGATCAGGTTCGCGCTGGGGCTAGCATCAACAACAACTTCAAAGGGCTGCCATGCACTCCAGTTCCAACAAGCATCAACAGAAAGACAACCTCCACGAAGAGATGTACCAACCGCTTCCATCGAGGATTGCGGCGATAAAGTCATAGCCGGAACCAGTCCCGTAGGCTCCAGTGTCATCGTCGTTCACTTTGCGTCTCCACCGCCACCTTTGATAACCTCGCCCTGAGTCTTTTTGCCCCGGCCTCGTCCTTTCGGTGGTCGGCCTCTTTTCGGGCCTTACTGTGACTCTTCACCTTCCCCGGGCTGTCTCGTTTTTGCACCGCTCAGTTTCTTCCTGGCTTCGTTGAACGAGCCCCGCTCCTGTAGCACGCCCAACAAGCCTTCGGCCCACCTCGCATCGTACAAGGCTGACGTCTGGGATTCGGCAGGCTGTGGCATCGAATGCTTTGCGAAGTCTTGGTACGGTGGCACGGCCTCCAGCAATACATCGCCCACGATCCCGAGTCTGTCGAGGCCTGGTCCGCAGCTGCCACTCGGAGCGCTGCCCTGGCCCGCACTCGCTCCAGACAATTTTGGTGACTAGGTCGTCCCAAATACCGGCCACCTGCCAGACCCAGCGGACATTATTGTGATAATTGCCGATCCGGCTCTTTGCTGAAAGCCATGCCCGCGAAGTCGCCTGACGTTAGAGGATGTCCTGGCTGCGCCGGTTGCATGCCGAAGTCCTCCTGCAGGTGGCTTTCCAAAGACTCGTAAATCAGCCGAGGATTCTTCTGCAGAGCTTTGATCATTAACCGCTGCGCGGCAGCATGCTTCCGGCCACCTCCCAACCCAGAATCGTCTGCGCTCGAAGCAGTTCCCCCTTTGGTCTAAAAGCACCTCCAGGTCGGTTTTCTTGGTGCTGAGGTTCGACACTATCTTGGTGAGCTGCACAACGGCGGTCTCCAAAGCCCCGCTGGCATTCAAGTCCTGGTCGGCTTTGTCCAGCCCCACGCCGACCGCATCGCCATGGCACCTTCATCGACAGGATCCAACAGTCCAAGCTTGTCCTGCGGAGGAGCCTCGGGAACAGCTGGCTTCCAGCCGCCCACGCCTCTGGCTATTCACGCCAGCCATCTCCTGTAATGCATCTTTCCCGAGTTTGGCTGCGCGGGCAGCGACTGTTCCGGGGTCCAGCCCAAGCAACTGCGGCCTCCGCCCAGGCCCGGCTGCTGCTTTTGACCGAGCTCCTCTCTGAACTTTCGGCTGATCCCCTTGGCCCTCCTCCTCTCCAGCAGGTGAGTCCACTCTCCACCGCTTCCATCCTTCTGAAAATCCTAGGTCCTCCGCCTCCGGACTCGACCGCCTGGAATGCAAAGTGCTCGTCCACGACCCGCACCAGTGCCTTGCCAAAGTGCAAAGCAGTCTCGTCCGAACCAGCGCCGACCAAGTCGTAGGTAGCGACAGCCTCGTCTTGAAAGAAGATTTTCTCCTCCATTTCCATGCTGAGCACCCCTACCCACAGCTTCACCGTCACTTCGGGCATGACGGTCTGCTTGGCTCCCCCAAAACGCCTGCAGACTCCGAGGGTACACCAGTGGAGGTGTTCCAAGTGCTCACATTGGTTGGAATTTTTCGGGCTGCCGCGGCTCGGGACATCGGGCTCCACCACCTCAAGGAATCCCTGGCGCGCTTGGGCGACTCCATCTTCATAGGCCAGCGCGAACGGCTCATTGCGGTGGCGGAAGCTGGGTTTACTTGGCCTTCGCAGTTGCAATGAGCGAGAGTGAGGCCAGTGAGGGAGAGGGCGACGAGCCAGCCACTATCCGGGCTGTCTCATCGTTGCCCGAGGCCGGATAGACAACAAATATCGAGTGGGTTTGGTGTCCTGCCATGGGGAAGGCGAAAGCTGCTCCATGATCGGAGTTGCCGAATTAGGCGGCAGGGTGATTGTGGCGGTACCTGGAGCTGCGTGGCATCGCAAGACAAAAAGTCGGAAGCTACCCAGCAATGCACTGGGGAAAGCCCTGAGCCTGGATTGTGTTGACCTCCAGCACACGCCCCTTCTCCAAGGCCTCGAGCCGGTCCGCCTGAACCTCAACAAGCAGCCTGCGCCGAACAACCTCCGCTTTAAGAATCCGGACTTCAGCACCTAGGTCCCGGACTCCTGTGCTCAATCCCTCCATACAGAGCAAGCGGGTGTTGTGCAAAGAAGGCCCACCACTGAAGAGTTTGCCTCCTCCACCACAGTTTGAGGGCGTAGAGAAGCTCAATCAGAGGGCCTGCAACAAGACCAACCAATATTCCTGCCGTAAAAGATCGGGAATCTAGCACAACAGGGTCGTACCAGCAGTTTCAAGGCAGCTGAAAGTGGGTTGGTTCAAGAGGAATCAAAGGCTCAGTGGCCGTGAGATGCCGATGCAGCAACGAAAGCACGAGCCCTACTACAGAACCGCTGCCAGTTGCAGCCAAGCTATGTGACATAGGCCGCTTGACCCGAAAAGCTACCGTTGAGGTTTCACAGCAGAACATGCTTCACATGCGGCATGTTACATACTTCTATCAGAACTCTATGAGCGACTCTGCCTGGCCCGGCAGACGGGCGCTTTTTACATTTGGCCGCACGGCAGCACGGCTCAATGGATGTGTTGCTCCAGGCGATGGACTTGCAGCTTTTGGATTCAAGCAAACATACTGCTCGTCGGCCGATGCAACAAACTGTGGCCTTGCTGCTCGCTCTTGACAAAGTAAGCGGCATAACTCGTCGGGACTTGAGCTTTCGTGCCATGAAAAGCCGACCGGTGATGGGTACTCGCGAGCAGCTTAAAATTTGTCGCTGTTCGATGTCATCTCGCCAAAGCTTGCCCGGAAGTTGCAGGACCTGATCCGGCATCATCTCAGCCACCTGGTGCATTGTTTCTTCATGTTTCTTCCAAATATGCGCCGCTTGCCAGCTTGCCGGCATGTCGTAGCAGAACTCGGTAGTTCTACTGGCATCTTTCCTCCAACAGCTGGTCCAAGCCCAACACATGCTGCGGATCCTTAATCGCACCGGTGCTTACGTGGTGCTGGCCACTATTTCCATAACGAGACAACACTCTGGCTACGTGGTGGTGGCTTGTTCGTAGCCTAGATTGGGGAAGTCGCTGCGAAATTTGGCTTGGCAAGCTCAGCCTACGGTACTGGTAGCCGTCCAGAGGAACTGCTGGCGGTCCGATTGTTATCGACGGACTGCAGTGGCAGTCTGAAGATGCCGTGGTGCAATCTTAGCACGGCCACCACGCCTTAACAACGCCTGAACGCAACTGTAAGCGCATCTCTTCGATGTGCATGACGTCGCTTCAACTCTTGGCAGCTTTGAGCTTGAGGCTCAAAACCAACCGGCTCCTCGGGTGAGGATCTTGCGTAGGCCTGGCCGTGACCCAAGTTGAGTTTGCGCGATGTTGCACGGCACCTCGTTAGTGAGCCGTGGCGTGAGTGGCTGCTAACTCGACCGGCTGTGACACCAGAACATATCACTATCAGCCTCTGCGACATCGGGCCGAGCTGTTGCAGGTCAGTTTCCTTCTCTTCCTATGTCTCAGGACCTATCCTTCTGAGACCGCACTTTGAGGGCACGGCTATCTGCTCGCGTCCGCTTTGCACTCGATGATTCCGAGCTGCGAACCATGCAAGTTCAAACAAATCTCAGATGGTTACCAGAGTCAGTTTTGCGATGCCTATGCAGATCCTGCTACTGTTACCTGGTATCACAGTAACATGATAACATGCCTGTTTCCATGCAGTGCAGCACTTTAGCCTCTCCGTTTGTCAAGTCAAGCGTTTGTGCAGACAGAGGCTGGAGTCCTCCTTGGCATATCCGATGCAGCTCGACCTCTTCCACCCAAACAGTACCAGCAACACTCGACAACCTCTGAAACATCCAGCAGCCTCCTTGGCCACTTCCACGCGCTGGTCATGCTCCAAGGACTGGAACAAGGGAACCTGCGAAGGACGAAATGACACAGAAAATGAAGTATTGCCGGGAAAAATGAGTCTCCTCCTTGCAGCCTAACAGGCCTAACTTAAACGGACGAAATTGACACTCTGTTTGCCTCTTCGTCATCCCTCTACCTTCTTGAAATGTGAGCAAAGGAGCCATTATATGTACGGGAAACAGTTCGGACCTGAGGTCTCCAATGCCTCGGGTCAGATAATGTGTGCTGTATGCTGTTCTGTGGCATGAGAGGGGTTTTCATCATCGTGCGGGCCTCGCCTGCCAGGGCTTTTGTTTCCCTTCTTTCTCTCACCATTCTACTGCTTGAGACAGCGGCAAACATTTTTGCAGAGCGCAGGGTGCAGCTCTCTGGCGCTGAGAGCTTCTGATCTTGTGATGTGTAGTCTGCTTAGCCGTAAACCTTGTTGTCGTGCGTTGTATCGACGGTGACCATACATGTTCCCCCCAAGCGGGCAGGTCGATGTTGGCGAGCCTTCAAGACCGCCAGAAGAAGCTCCACATCCTGCGGGAACTTCGGGCATGCTAACACTCTCTTCTCCTGTCTAACATCAAACATCCACCGGCTGGATTTCGTCTCTGACCCAATTCTTGCAAAGAAAGCTGAACTCAGACCGCATTGATGTACTGTCCAGAGTCCTGGCTGCTGAGGCCCCTGGGCATCTCTGCAAGTGGATACTATCAACCAGTCATGGCTTCAGACTGCAGCTGACCAGATGCACGCAGGCAGGAACTTTGCTCAAAACCGGAACCTCAAATTATCGTTGGCACGATGTGAGTCTCGCACCTGTCGGAAGCGGCCTGTTCCAGACAACGTGCATTGTACTACTGTACGGTCTCCATGCGGTCACGGACAGACTCAGGTCTTTTTCAGAGCGAAAGGAGCGAGCCAATCTTTTCGATGTCAAGCTGTTTCTGCTGGCTTTGCGACCTGACTTGCCAGCCAACAAGTGAATTGCGAGCTCTGCGACGGAACTCTGGAAGAGCACTTGGACCGTTGTGCACGGACCGCTTCCCTGCAAGCCCACGCCAGAGCATGGGAATGCAACAGGTGTAGCTGCAGCAGAGGCGCTGATTTGGCATTTCTTTCGAGATCTGCCAGAACCTGCAGATTGCGCTTGCAAGCTCTATGCTGCGCACAACGCCGGGCATTTACAAAGCTCTAAAACCCTCCGTTTAGGACAGACCTCAGCAGTTTGAATGCTGTGATGCGCCGACATCCAGACCACCAGCAGGCGACGTGGAATGCAGCACGACCTCGCCACGATTCACAAGCAGCTGAGTTTGGGATGCATATGCTTGCAAGGTAAAGATTCGCTCTGTGCAGAAGGGCCGACAACAAATGTCTGCTCGGGAATGGGGCTGCTGAAAGACACTCGCACTCCCAAGTCCGCTCAGGCTTCGGCATCTAAGAGGGGCCAGAAACTAATTGCCCCTCCCGGCCCCCGGTTCATTCCCTCCCATGGCCCGCGAAATCGTCAGTGGCCGTCGCATGTGCATCGAAATTAGCTTAAAAGCCCTGGTCGCCTTTTTTGAAGTGGCGCAGGGGTCTGACTGGGCATAGGGATCCTGCTGCGGTGGCAAAGCAACACATCTCAACACGTCCCCTCCTCACCCCTGCCCCCCAGCCTTGTTTGGCGTTGGGCCCGGGATTTAGGGGGTGGGTTCGGGGCTCGAGGATTTTTGGCTTGAGAATTAAGGTCTTGATGAATCTTGATATACCATCGTCAAAGGACATTAGAGGTTTCGGGAATCAGCATACAAAAGGAGGCCTTGCTATTTGGATTTAGGTTCAGGATTTTGGGGATTTGGGCTGTAAGTTGATGGGTTTGGGGAGGCTCTTGAGATTGCAGAGTTTGGATTTAAGGGTTAGGGCACAGGCTTGTGGTTCAGAAACCCCAGACCCTGAACCGTCCTACCAGGACCACTTAACTAAGCCGAATGCCGAAACCATAAGCGGTATCAAATCTCTATTACGTTCTGTGACGCCGGCCGGGGCCGAGAAGTAGCAACTCGAGTTATCTAAACTATGTACATCCCAGGGCCCCAGGCCGGCCCGAGCTTCAACTTTTTACGTCGTTATTGAACTTCTTTGCTTCACTTAGCACGTGCCACCAAGCAACACCACTGTGCCGATGACTGCGGCCAACAGGGTTCGGTAGACGAGCCTCACACCGCGCATTGTCAACCGGTGAAAACGAGGAGTTCTGGCGGCCACCACATTTGACATGCAGCCGCGATGCGACATGTCAGTGAGTAGGCTCTCGCAGATTAAGACGTTCGCCTCTGTGAGAAGCTCGTTACAGGCGCTTTCCAACTTCGCCGAAAGGCTCCCTGCGCTGAGATGCGCTGAGCAGGCAGCCTGACTGCAGGACGTCGCCGGGTAGAGCACGTCTGCTGCAACCTGCAGAACTGTCTACTCTGCTCTAGCTTGAGGCCCAGGCCTGGGTTCTGCGTCGTGCTGAGAACACGCCAGTGAGGAGTTCTATTCCGAGTCTAGCGGCAAAGGCACTCACGTTCTGCATGCTGGCAGTGCACGATGCATCCTGCAGCAAGGTATGGGCATGTATGGGCATTGCACCATAGCCAACAAGTAGTTTCATCTCCGGAGGCGCGGTCCTCTGATAGAAGCGGTACTCCATCGCAGCCATTGGCCACGCCTGTTACGAAGCTCGGGAAGCTGTAGAACACAACATGTTTCTTCGAAGGCCTACTTGGGCGAGGCTGACCGTGCCCATGATCAAGGTCATGAAAACCATGCCCAGAGAGACCTTGTCACGAGCGCGCAGGCAATCCTACCACACATGAGACCAAGCAGCTGGGCACCAAGGATAGCGGCGGACAGCATAGGCAAGGGGAATAAGAAACATGTGAATATCCGAGGCGGCTGTGATGGCGGTGGTTCAGTTGAAAGACGGTGGGGGTGTGAGCGTATTTGTAGAGTATTTAATGCGGCAGGCGACGGTTGCAAGAACGCAGTAAGCCACAGTATTGGTTCCCTTCCCGTGGCGGAAAACGACATGCAGCTTCCGTAAGCACTCCACAGGAAACAAGTTTGATGTTTGCTGGCATCGCCTTTGCCAAGCACAGCTTAGTTCAGGGCGGCATCCTGCAACAGAACGAGCGAGAAGAAGCCTGCAAGAGCGAACATTGACGAGCTCTTGCCACGCATACCTCAAGCCAGGCCTGTGTAGTGGAAGACATGTCCCACACAATTCCTGGGCCGTAGAGCACTACATCTTCACATCTCTCCGGGCGTTATGCACATTTCCCAACATCACGACTTCGACCTGCAGGCATGACACACACAGCTCCAGCAGCAACCCTTCCTTGCTGCTGGATCCTTGGATCGCGAGCTCGGTGCAGAATGAACAGTCAGTCCGAAACAGAATGCCCAAGCCACGAGGATAACAGCCACTAAGCCACTCGACAGAGACATCTTTCTCCCTACATGTCACACCTACGGACCTACGGCACAAATCCCCAAATTAAAAGCTCTGGTTGTTGTCCTTCCCTCTCAAGCGGACGATCCACCCTAGACCCTAGACCTTTAACCCTCAACCCCAAAACTAGGCGAACCTCCCAACTCGCTCCAAAGGGACAAGCCGCCTGCACCTCTCCTGGCCCCCGATCGACTGACGGCACTAGAGTACGTAGGAGCTCCAAGCCAAGATATGCCAAGCAGGCCAGGCAGTCAAGCGGCAGACTCAAAGGCTCGTGCAATTCCGTTGTTCTCATAAACGTACCTGCCATGTGCATGCCATCTTGGGCACAAGTATCTTCTCAGCTAGCTGCCCTGAGTGCGGTCCCGGATGCTCTAGATAACAGGCGTAGCTGAACGCCACCAGTGCCATTCCAACAGCCTCAGAAACGGTCAATCTCTGCCACAACAAGTAATGTTTTCTGTAACGCAGCAAAAAGTGCTGGCAAGCCACCAAGGCCACCAAAAACATGGCAGTCCAGCGGTAGAAGTCTGCGATGTCTTTCACCTGCAGCTCCCTCCAATCAGGCTGCCCTAACGTGGCTTTCCGAAGAGAACCCAGCCCCCGAAACTCCTGAAGCCCAGAAAGGCTTGAACATTTTTGCCTGCAGCATGGGCAACCCTTATGCCAAAAAGCACTTGCCGCCATACAAGTCGAAACACGGCCCGCTCGGTAAGAATGGCCACCGTGAAGGCATAGCTCTGCACTGAATCAAGATCTGCCTCGCAAGCCGGCACCAAGACACCAAGGAAACTTTGCACTGCCTGCAGCATGTAGACCTGCATTCGTTTGGATGTCATCCGCAGCATAACCAGCACCTTCAATGTCAGAGAAAGATTTGGACGAAGCCTAAGCCCCAAAGCTCTGCTGGACTCCGACGCCTCGTCCAAGAGCTCTGCTGCTCTCGCCTGGACTGTGCCGGTCAGGTTCACCGTCACCTTCCCGAGACAAACCACGAAGTTTTGCATTGGGACTTTTCTTGACTCCCTCCGCTTTGCAAAGCTTGATGCTCCGTCCAGAAACAGCTCTTCGTGTCTTTTCAAGAAGGGGCAAACCCAGCCTCGTGAACACGAGCGGCATCACGCAATATGTCCTTGGCGTGAGAGGCTTTCGCCCGCTCAGCCGAGCTTCGACGGAAGCTTCGTCGAGGGAGAGCTTGAAGGTGTGTCAAGAAGAAAACAGCAAGCACACGATATCGCGCGTCGCCACTGAGTGCCTTGCCTTCTTCTCGGTCTCTCCAAATTGGTCAAAGCTTCGGACCAGGTCCTCGAAAAGCAGGATCCGCGAAGCTCGTAGCACAGGCTGAGGTTCTCAACCATGCGGTGCTACAGATCGTCAGCACCGGCCGTCGGGAAAGTCAGCAGTTCCCTCGCTGTCTGCCAAGCGTCCATCTGCCGCAGCTTCTCCATGTTTTCCTTGGGTGCTTGGGTGCTTAACTATATATTTATATGGTTGAATGAGATTTCGCACCGCAAACACACTCAGAGGCACGATCGGATGACTGCACCAACCTCTCAAAGATAAGACTGCGACGGACGCAACCACTCGGTGCTTCATGCAAGCTGTGAGTCAGACTTCTCGAAGGTAGTGAAGTTTGTCATTGTGGCACTGCCGGACATATTCCCCAGTGATTCCGTGACCTTAAGAGGTTACATCATCTTGCAGCGGAACCGGGAATTTTCAACCAACGGACTCCAGAAAATGCCCAGACACCGATTGTTGGTAGTTAGGAGCCATGCTTTTGGAGGCCTTGGCACATGCTCAGTGGCATTGAAAACCAGCCCTTCAATAACAGAACTGGTCCATTCATAAGCTGAGGAGCCAGAATATGCACACTGGACACAAAGTCGCGACATCGCTGATCCATCTCGTCCACTGAGTCATCTAAGGAGGCCAACATGCCTTCAAGGACAAGGCCAGAAGAGGGGCCAGCATACAAGCACGCAGTTCATTACTGCACCTGCATTTCTTGACCTCTGCATGTACTTCCTCTTGCAAGTTGCTCCTGGTCTTCGCGAACTCGCTTTGAAGATCAGCGAGCTTGTCCGCACCGCTCTTGATGCTCAGATAAGCGACCTCAGATCCAGAAACCTGCCAAGCCGCTTCACCGGAGTGGGCCAAAACCCCGGCCTGGTGGCCAGGCAGCAGGTCTGCGAGGGGGAACACCACGGATCTTGGCAAAAAAACTGGTCGGCGGAGATTGCATGCCGCATGCAGCAGACCATACGTGCTACGCCACACAGGGCCAAGGTACAGCATGCTTCCGAGCGAGTCTAGAAAGTCTTTGCCTTCTGCAGGGTATGCCACAGCCTTCAGTCCTGGCTGGAATTTGGGCATTCGGCCAGAGACCCAGGGTTGGCTGCTGCTTTTGTGGCTTCCAGTCCTTGTCGCATCTGGTCCAATCGCAACTCCTGTCCAAGCCAGTTTTGCGAAGTTCTCCAAACTCGTTGCAGGGTCCTATGTCTAAGCCTCTTCTTTCGTTCCTGTCATGTCTTACACATCCAGCCTGTGCAGCGAGCAAGTACATTGCGTGCTCGTAGTCACCGCCAGCACCTTAAGCTCAAGCTCTATTCATGCCCAAGTCAGTACAGCCTGCGGCATTCTGAATTATTGAGCTTTGTGGAAAGCGGCGATATTGCCGAACAGGATGCCTTTTTGAATCTGCCCACCCGCCGAAATGCCCACCCTCTTGTCTCACACAAAAGCCTCCTCCGCAGAAAGCACCGAAACCTGCAGCAGTGGGGTTGGTGCTGGGTGCCGTGCTCTTCATTTCCGCAGTCTTTATAAGAAGCTCTTTCAGAGCCTGCTCCAGTCTTGAAGATTCCTTGGCACTTCACAGTGTAGGGAGCTGGCTTCATGCCATCTAGAGGCTCTGCACGACCACATGTCGATATCAACCCAAGATGCTTACTATCTTCCCCAACTTAGATCTCCTTCATAGCCGCGATTCCTCTTTAGCATGCTCCGCCTCCTGCTGCAGCAGATTCAGCCCTCAGCCGCAGGGTTTACGATTCTATCGAAATAGAAGTCCCCTGCTGCACTGACCGCATGACTCACTACTCAAAGTGGCACTGTGAGACTGCCCTCGCAGTCTGCGCCTGGCTTCCGTGCGATAGTCTTCAACACCGATCACATAAAATAAAGAAGTCATAACTGCATGCCGGGAGTCCTCTTACCATGGCACGATCTCCCTGCGTTGCACAGGATTCAAGACAAGCGAGCCAGAGCCAAAGTGATCTCAGTGGTCTCAGAATAGAAGCAGCAATTGACGAAGAAAAGCATGTAGAGATGCTCGTTCAGCAGATCTGCACATCGCATACAGCCTCGTAGAGTGTGCGATTGATCTCAGTCTCGACCATTCCTGTCGCTTTGCCCGTGAGGTTCATCACATTTCCAGACCTGCAGGGGCTCATGTCGTGGTGGAGGTACCAGACGGTCGGAGGTATACCGACGGCCGGAGGTACCAGATGCACGGAGGCATCAGACGTGCGGATGATATATCAGGCTCGCCGGAGGGTATCAGGCACGGAGGTATCAGATGCGCGGGGATATCACGTGCGCGGAGTTTTCACGCGCACGGAGGTATCAGACGCGCGGAGGATCGCGGAGGTATATCCGACGGGGAGGTACGCGCAGGTATCAGACGCGCAGCCCGGCGGAAACCTTTAACCTTTAACCTCACATCCGGATGGGGGGATTTAGGTTAGGAGTTAGGAAATTATACTAGGGGTACGTAATGACGATTTTCGGGTGTAGGGAGAGGTTCGAGACTCGCTGTCACTTCCGCGCCGCCCCCGGGCCCGGAACCTGTTTTGGAACCTGCCCGGAACCCGCCCTGAACCTCCAGCCCCGAAACCCCAGGACCCGCCCCAATCTGCCCCAAACCTTACTTCAGCTGAAGACCCCAGAGCTTACGCTCTTCGGAAAAAATCTACCTTCAGTTCGTCTTTTGCTGCAAGCCACCTCTCTGCCAGCACATCCAGTCGAGATGCCACATCCCAGCAGCCATACCTTCGCATCTGAACGAAAACCCTGAATCCCTGCTACAGAAAGGGAAAAATGCAATACTTCGTCTAGCCCGCAAAATCCCACAAATGCGCCTAGAGTTGTTACAGCGGTGGTAGAGAACTGAGACACTTTTAGCACAAAATGCTGACCAGCAGCAGGGCAACTGCATAAGCACCCAAGATGACAACAAAGAGGCCGAACATCTGCCACGGAAATTCCTGAGATGGGAGCAAGTTTGTGCTGCCCGTGTTCCAGGCGATTTGCTTACGCTTGCTACACTGGCATGCCACGGCACATCCTTATCGCCGGCAGCCTCGCGACGCCGACGCCGCAACTCTGAACCTGTGAAGGTTCCGTACCTTGGGCAGACCACAATGCAAGCTCACGCCCTGCAGGCACTGCACAAAGGAACAGCTGTTAAAAGACTTACAGACTGAACTTGAGTCAAATGCTCTGCTACGCTATGTCGCTGCAACACAGCAACTTTCGAGCAAAGTGGCATATGGAAGGCCTGATGTCGCCTGGGCATGCAGGAGCTTCGGTGCTTGCCAAGTCGTCGGGAAACGAGTTCCGCATTGGATCTGCAGCAATCAACCGGTTTTGGTGCTTGCTGTCTCGCGGTCTTGCAGTGCTGTTCTGCTCGCCCAAATATGATAGATATGATAGCGGGACGTGGCTCGAACCAACTTTTACCCCAAAACGTGGCGACGAGTGCTTCCGTGGAGGTCGTTTGGATCGCATGATGTGGTGATGTTGATGTGAGTGCATGATGTGAGGTTTTCGTAAGGTTGTCTCTTATCTCTTCATTAAAATTCATTTTAATTCACGGCTAGTAGGAGTCGCTGCACATCGTAAAACATCGCTGCACACATGTTCCGCGACGATTCGGCATCGGATTTAGCAAGTCTCTCCTGATGCCGGCGTGTTCGGTCACGCGAATTGGCGCTTCGCAAGTGTCAAGTGATGCCGCGACGACTCGAGTTCGGAATTGACAACCATCTCGGTGAAGGCTGCCCCTGCTCCATAATCTCACCTGGATCCCGCCAGTACATGGGGAGAAGCATTTTGGCCGCGATCCCGAATGTTGCCAATACGTCGGACATAGGGTGGGAAGACTTTCGTCTCAGGGTTTGTAGAAGCGGCATGCAAAAGTTTAAAATAGTTAATAGGGCTTGTAGAAGGGCTTATAGCAGGATCTATTGGAAGGGTCTTACTGGTTGGCCCCTTAAAGCCTCTGAAAAATATTAGTAAATAGGGTCCTCCTAAGCCCAATAAGGGAAAATATAAAATATCCCAAATGCCTACCGAGCTTAAGTTTAGAGGAGGTTGTGTGGATGGGTGGATATGGGTGGATGTCCGGCTGGCTGGTTGGACGGATGGATGGATGGACGGAAATGGATGGATGGATGGATGGATGGATGGATGGATGGATGGATGGATGGATGGGATGATGTTCTGTCTTACCTCGCTGCTCGAAAGCTCGAAACTCTTTCGGCACGACTCTCGTGTGTTCCGAGCAGTGGAATCGCCTTCGGAACTGGTTTCTACGGCTGTGATGCCTCTTTGATGTCCCGCCGCGCTTCAACCGACTGCAGTTTACCAGCAAAACCCTTCTGACACCAAACTGGATTGCCCCTTGATGACCCGAGTGCGAAAACACCAGCCTGTCTGGCCCAGCAGCCAGCGCGGCGAGGACAGTAGTAGACCGTATAACTATTTGAGCCAAGATAAAGGTCGATAAAAGCCAGTGCTCCATCATTCGCCCAGTTCACCGAGACTGCCTAGACTCTCCTAGACTTGTCCGGATTGGTAGAAGGCAAGGCTGAATTGACTTGAAGATCTTTGTTTAGGCCGGTGCGATGGGAGACTAAAGACGACTTCGGACCGATACGGACACCAGAGTTGCTCACGCCTCGAGAACTCGGCGCCGAGCTGCGGCATGGCCTGAGAGGTCCATGGAGACCTGTGGCCAGCTTGGAACGCGCTCGACACGCCGTACATGTCGCCCTAAGGCCCTACAGAATTCCCCTGCCTCTTTGAAGACGGAAGCCTCCAGCCATGCGATTCTCACGTCACTCTCGGCACGAAGACTGAAGGGCCAGAACTCCTGCACTTCCAAGTCGGATTACTCGCCAAAAGACGCAAAAAAAGTCACCATGCTCCTGCGAGCCCAGCAGCACATCTTCTCCTATCGCGCTGCCCTGGCTGCGGCTTTCATGCCAAAGGCCATATATAAATTACCCTCTGCAGCGAAAGCCCGGAAGTCCGCTCCGCTGCCTGCAGCAGCTGCCGCACACCCTTCGGCGATACCACTGCAGCAGTGCCTTGCAAAGCTCAGTCTTTCCGTGCTTCCAGAATTGCTAGTGGCGTCCGTCACTTGCCACACTGATGCTGCAGCATCACAGCACCTTCGAGGATCTGGATGAAGGCAGTTGACTCCTCACCAGCTCGGCCTGAGAGGTTACCAGGTTGCTTCTGCTTCCGCATCGAATTTGGAGCCCCGAATGTTTCAACGCTGCGTCCGACGTGAGCATGATGCAGAACTGCCATGCATCGCATTGCCTGAGCTTGTCCTTACAGCTTCGGCCCTGAGGTGTACGCAGATGTAATCGCCTTGGTCAACGGACAGCAGCTGCGTCGAGCGACAGATATCCTGGCCGGGCGGAGGGAGACTGTGGGGTACAATCATGTGAATGCTGTTTGCCAAACACATCAGGTTCAGAGAGCGAGCGGCCCGCAGACAGCGATTCTCGAGGTTCTCGAACGTCTGAGCACACGACCACGTGGCACAGCAAACCAACAAGAGTGTAAAGCCGGTTGCTCAAAGGCATGCCTCGTGTCGACGTAGAAGCTCGGAAAGCTCAGCGCTGTCCTTCGTCGTGAGACTGGAACCTGACTTCATAGCTGCATAGCGGACATGTTCTGTTAAGCGGCGGAGTGAGCGATGTAAGCCTGCTCCCACTTGCAAACCATCCGATGGAGCAGAGGTCGGGGCCTGAATTCAAGCACACAGGGCAGCGGAACAAATGACAAAGACCTGACTGCGACCAAGTATCGGTTGTCAGTTCCAGCCCAAGCGGCACCGAAGGAAGCATCAAGACATCTCCAGGCCCTTAGGGAAGCAGCAGATCCTCTGAACTGAAAGAAGCAGCCTTGCTGTTCTTGTGGTCCTTCAGGGTACACGCCCATCTCTGCCCCAGCGGCTGATGTCAAAGCAGCACTCGCCCTAATCGCCTCCATGGCATCCAGGAGCGGGATCCGCAAGCCCCCAGTATTCCCCAGTACTGGCTCAAATACTGCAATGGGTCCCAGTTTCTACAAAGCTAAGCAGCCATTTCTCGCACCAGCGCGCTCTTCACGCTGGTCAGACTTTGCTTTGTGACAGACCGGAGTAGCGAATGGCACAACAACATCCCTACAAGTGATGCCTACGATGCCCTAAACTCCACGCACAGCCTGTGCGATCAGACCAACAGACAAAGTCCGCAAAACCAGCCCCAGCAAGGGGTCGCACCAATTCCTCCGGTCCTTGGAACGTGGCTCAGTGCTTCAAACACCGGCCCTTTCGGTCTGAGGCCATCGCTTCGTCGATTCCTGTGGACAAGTCACCATTCTTCCACAGGGTCGGATGTGCCGGGCGGAGGCAGCTCAGGCAAGATCATCAAAGGCCGCGACATCCGTGGTGGAGGAGTCTGCCTCAGCTGCAAGCTTTCCCTGTGCAGCTGTCCGCTGCAACTGAACTTGCACCACTTGCGCACCTGTGGATGTCGTCGAAGCCTTCCTCGGACAACGATAATGGTTGTAGTGCAGGTGCTCTGCAGACCGAAATTCTGCAACTAGGGCCAGACACTGGTTTGGACAGGTCGCTCACGGTATGTTATTTTCAGTTTAGCCTAGAGACCATGTGTAAACGTCGGGGTCGGCATCGCGAAGTTCATGCAACGTTTCGGCACAGCGGTTGTTTGTGACTCCACTAGAAATGACAGGGGGCGCATGTGTCTGAAGTGGAAAAGAGGGCAGAGGACGACGCCAAAGGGGCAAAGCCCAGTGGATAGGCCTCTTTGACCCGACGCCCTTTCCAGCGCCATTTCGCAGAAACGCATCGGAGAAGAGTGAAGCCTTCCGTCACGAACCTACGAGCTACTTATAGCTACTTGAGCTACAAGTACGAGGTTGGGTACCTCAGTATTTTGACCAGCGGCATGGCTTTGTCCAGGGAGATTAGAAGAGGCCTATGACAAAGAACAGGCCACGCCAGGCCGCAGCACAGAACCGCACGTGCCGGTTGTGGCAAGCCATGTTGCAGTCCGGAGCGCTTCCCTCGCCGTTTCATGAGCGACAGGGATGGACAGGGGTACCATGCATCTGAGCCCCCTGCCATGAACCTAGCATGAGCCGGATCTTGCAGACGACGAGGTATTTCTCGCATCTTGCGAAAACTATGGATCCTTTTTCCTGTTATATAAAAGCCTGTGTGATCGACAATTCTAGCCAGGAGGGCCCAAACTGTGTGACATCCATGTTCACTCTTTGCAGCGAAGCAGGGCGCCCTGAGTCTTACGGCCTTACGGTGCCCTGACATGAGGCTCGGATCCTGTTTCCGCTCAATCCCTTTTTGACGACCCTGCAGTTAAGTTCACACGAGGTGCCAACGAAGACCGTTCAACTCGTCATTCTGAGTGAGGCACAGGACCGAAGAACTCATGCTGCTGCAAGGTCAGCCACACCCTGCTAGAAAGTCGTGCTATCTTGCACTACTCTGAGGTGCAACAAGGCAGAGCCTGACCTCCTGGCACACACCGAGCCGCTGCTGCGGTGCGAGCTGCAACAGGCCCTCGCAACGGAGAGTCTCTGCCTGCCCACCCTCTGCCGTACCATCTGCCCCGCCTCGATGAACTGTCGAGCCTGACGTCTGCATACATCCTCCGAACTTTGCGCCCGAAGTTCGATCCCAGCCTTCTTCCACACCCGTGGAGGGCATGCATAGTCGAGGGTTTGCACACGCTGGAAAACCAGGTATCTCAGCACAAAATCGAAAATCCACCGCGACGAAACATGCGAGCAATCTGTCGGGCCCGCATTGAAAAAATACTAGCTTCTGACTTCGGGCCCGCACTCTGACTCTGCGTGGAATGGTGTTCTCCCGACAGTCATCTCAGCACGCTGCTTTACATAGCACTGTGCTTTTGGACTGGAGCCTATGCCACTTTGACAGTCCAGACCTGTCTCGCCAATTCAGACCGGCGCCAAATAGACAATGCATCCCAAAGCCCAGACATCCAAACCAAACGCCTGGCCAAGTTCTGCAAGCCAAGTGCTAGGCTTCACAAGACGTCATAAGTCCAACCCTGGAGGTGGGGCGTTCCGAGCCTGCTGGGGCTTTGCCGTACCGAGAAGGACCTCTGGAGCGACATACCTTGTGCTGAGTCACTCTCCAACAGCGACCCGAGTAGATTCAGCCATCCGAGACATAAGATGACAAATGCTTGGCCAAGTCTAGGTGCAGGCAGGCAAGACACTGCAAAATCGGCTACTTAATCGAGCATCAATGCCCGGATCGTCAACCCTCGTAGAGATCTTAGACACGAAACAACGCAACGAAGGATCGAGAACCAAAGTACCGCGGGCCGCGGGGTCTAGATGGTGGACCGCAGACAAAAGGGGACGCCACTTTCAGAGACCCTGGCAGCGCAGTGCCCACAAAGCTCTCGGCCGGAGGGAACTCTCCTGACGGCGAACGCAAGCACAGATGGGCCCAACGGCGGAGTGTCGCGGAGTCTTCCTTTATAGTAGCGCAGCAAACCTTTCTTGAAGGTTACTCCGCATCGTTCTCCCCCTCCTCCGCAAGGTCGGCCGGCAGCTGCATCGCCCTCGCCCTGAAGCAGACCGGCAATTGCAAGCAGGATGCAGGACCTGCCTGTCTTGTGGTGTCTTTGCTGTCTACGACAAAATGTAAGTGAGCACATCCAATCACAGCATGCTGTTGCACTAACAAGCCTCCGATCAGAGGCATTGCTGCGCTTCACCCTGATAAAGCTTCTTGCTCTGGGCTGGCTGTTGAAACCTGTTTAGTGCCAACGTCTGCTGCCTCCTGCGGGCAGGTAAAAATGGTGTGCTCACAAACGCAGTTGTTTTGCGTGTTTCTACTGATACTGGCACTGGGAGCTAGGCGAGGGTACATGCGAGTAGATCAGAAATGCTGCTTGGAATTCATCTGGTAGCTTACTCGACGGTTCGACAAGGAAGGTCTAGCAAGACATGCGAGCAGTCTGAACAGTACAGCTTCGCTTGGGTGCTCACCCAGAGTTCAGCACTAGCTTTCTCAAAGAACTGCGCGTTCGCCGTTTGCGTTATGTTTGCATGAGTGGTAAACTACAGTACATATTCCTTAGTGACGTCTGCAAGCTCCACAGATGACAGGAGGTGACTTTCTTTTGCATGGCTTGGGTGCTGTGTTGTCTGAAGATGTCTGAAGCAAGTTGCCTTCCTGCCCTAACCTGTACAATTGACATTGCTACCCTTCCTTGTAATACAAGACCATTTGTCCGTTGTCAGTCGCAGCTGCAGGCCGAAACGAACAGATACTGACTGACACTGTACCGCGATACCAGGCGCCTGTCCAATACATGAGCTCCCACATTTGTTACCAGATGCACAATACTCATCCGTCCTCGTCTGTGCATAGAACTCTCTGTGACGAACAACAAACTTGGATTTGCGCCGCGACGCTCAAAAGATCTCTGTTGCAAACCACGCACATCGGATCGGAGTCCACCCTGATCCATGAGTACTGTGTCAGTTGTGTCTGCCCGAAATCCAGATGTCCAAAGTTTGTAAATAGCTTGTGAATAGCTGGTCGTAGATGGGTTGGTTAAAATTTGCTCCCTCACGGCTGTAGCGGAGCACTGGATTTTGAAAGGACCGGCCTCGTCTGGCTCTGGCACCTGCATGGCCGCATCGAAGTCTACCAGCTTCAAGTGACCTGGAGTAGAATAAGTAAAGCATTGCAAGTATTTCCGAGCCAACGGAAAGAGATTTGTCTCACAAGACCCTCAGACGGCAGAGCTTTGCGTTCGCTAGAACAGAAGCCGGTAGGAATACCATGCTGGACCAGGACTGTCGGCCTTCCGAGGTCAGAAGCAAGTTTTCCGGCTTGAGATCTCGATGTGCCACCCGACACTGGCGGAGGTACCTGCAAGCACGAGGTCCAAGTTGGCTAGCCACTGGAAACAACGAGCATGCACTGATGAAAACCCTCGCAAAGTGCTACCGAAACTCATGGGGGCACGAGAGTATGTCGATGATCTCCGCAGTGTAAAAGCGTGTGAACTCCCAGGAGCAGGTGCCTGATGGATGTTCCGTCAACATAGCGAGGAGCTGCAGGGCAGGAAGTATCGAGGAGCAGGTTTGATCATTGAAGCGTGCGTGGGTTCAAGCATGAAGCACCATCTCAGTCCATGACCCATTCGCTCTATTTGTGTGGCTAGGTCACCACCCAAGACCTGGAGGCTGACTTGAAGCCCGCGAAGCCCTCTCTTTCCGACTTCGAAGTCGCGAAGGTTCTGACAGGTTCCAAGCCAAAGTACAGGGACCACAGGTCCTGAGAGGGACGGGCTGAGAGCCGCCGAGCTGCCGCTGAACAAGAGCCCTCGAAGAGACGCGCGTCCTGGAAGGCGAAATACAGCCGCACCTTCTTCCATGCAAACACTACTACTGCTTGCATGTGCTTGCAAACGGGTGTGCTTGCTGCATCACGTCTCTGGGCCGGTGGCAATTTTTGGATGGTCCATCTTCGCGAGCATCAGGCGCTCGGTGATCACTCGGTTGCCACGATTTTGAACCTCTTTCTCGAAAGCCAAGCATGTGCGACAGCATAGAAAGGGCCATTCCACGAATAGACTGCCATCATCAACACAGCTGGCATCCTGGATAAATTTCTTCTCCACGATCTTTATCGCATACTCGCCTGGGAGACAACGTCGCACGAATGCCTCGCGTGCTGAAGGCCCCTCGCATTGCTGCACTTTTCGGAGACAGACGTCCGTCTTGGCGGCCGCGGGCACGGAGAACTCTCGCGAAGGCACCCTGCAATGTTTCGACGACTTGTCAAATACCGACACCCTCAAGACATGTGAAGGCGCTTGTCTACCAATGTCCTAAAGCGGCATTTCACACACCAGTACATCTTATGGCGTAAATCACAACCCCTTCCAAAGTCTGATCTAGTTCCCATACCCGGATGCCCTGAGAATGTACCAGAAGGCATCTACGAACCCTCCCGATTCGGGCAACGATAGCCATCAGGCAGACCCTGGCGACCCGATCCGCACTGCTCACCGATCATGGGTACGAGAGTTTGACACAAGTCCAAGTTGCATGCATTGACAAAAGGCATTGCGTGATGTGACAGAAGCAAAGTGGAAGACCCTGAAGCCCCATGACTCAACGCAGCGTGGGAACGGCACCAGCCTCTCCCAAGAGCGTTGTGAATTCGAAATCCTGCAACAACACATCAACAAAACAAGACTAGGCGTTTGCAATCCTAAGCTCACCGATCACTCAAGTCGAGCGACGCCGCCACGCCGCGACGAGGCGACCCGTTGAGCCGGGCAGGCTTAGACTTGCACAAACCTTTGCTCAGCTGTCCTCTCGATGAAGTTCGGCACGATGTCGCCCTGGAAACGCCAAGAGGACCAGGAGGAGCAAAGCCACAAGCTCGCAACGCTGAGAACCCTGGCTCAGGCTTTGGCCGCCCTCCTTGCTGGCTTGCCTGAGTAGAGAACTCGCGAACTTCGATATCAAGAAACGGTATGCAAACCAGGGGTAGCACAATGCCTGCGACTCTTCGAGAACAAAGTCCTTAGGTGAACCAACACGATATTCTATCGACAATACTCAACAGCTGAGAAAATGTGTCTGCTCGGGTCCACGCCTCAATGCCAATGCCAGCTGTCATGGCTCGCTGCCACAACACCAGTCAAAGAAGCCTAGCTTGCCTAAGCATTGCGATACCCATGGCGCATGGGCCTTGTTTTTCTGTGCTCAAGCCGCAGTTATTAAACCACTGGCCACAATCTGGCCACATGTCACAAGCCCAGCTCAAGAGATGGCTTGGCGGCAGGGTCACGCTGTGTTTTGAGTGCAGCTCTGCTGTGCACCGCACACGGTGACTTCCTTCAGCACACCTTTTTACGGAAGCCGCCCCGTCAGCCTTCGGAACCACAAGACCGGAGCGCAGCCTTGGAGCGGGCAGCTGCACTGTTCCATGCAAGCAACTGTTTTACATAACTCCATCTCGTCCATGCACAGTGTCCTTCGCCGACGAGGCCACATCCAGGGCTGCGTAGTCATTGCTTTGCAACCTTGCTGTCACAGCGTGAATCCACTTCATCTGCTGTGGAACATCCACCGAGTGGCAGCGGGAGGCCCAGCTCGGCTGCCACCCCCGACACCGAGAGGCCCATGGGCAGCGAAGGGCCCGGCAGCGGCAGATCCGGATCTAGCCCACCTCCGCTGAATCTTGCACACGTGATCTCCACGCATGCGGTTTCGCCGAAAAATTGGGGCTTTTCGCTGGGTTCGGATGCGTTCGTTGATGGTATCTAGGTGTATTCAGGGCAATCTAGGGCTGGCATACATGCATTCTCGGCAAGCTTAGTGAGGCGCAACTTGGTGCGGCTCAAGCAGAAAGCGCTGCCAACCGAAGGCCTTCGATTCTGGTTCCATCAGGACCGCTGTACCGTGCTACAGTGAGGGCCACAGCCTCCTGCGGGGCACATGCGTTGGAGCGCACTGGATTATGCGTCTAGCATGCATTGGGCTCCTTGTTGGGCAGTCCGAACACGCCTTGAACAGCCGCCTCCATGCGTTGTACAAGGATGATGAGCACATGAGCACAGCCGACTCTGCAGGCGAAACTAGCTCAAGCTCAAAGATGCGGACGTCACACACTTATCACATCTCGGCCTTCCCAAAAGTTTTCGATCCAAGCAGTGGAGCACGACAATTGCCGCGCAAAGCCACTGCCAAAACCTTAGCCAAAAACTGGAACCGTGAGGGCGTCCTGTCGCATCTGAACAATCCAGCCCAGGTCACCTCGCTAGCGCTGGCACTCCCACCATCGACGAGCACCTGAATGGAAGGATTTTGCGAGCAATGCACCTCAATCAAGTGTGGTCGATATCTCCCCGCTACGAAATGCTTGCCAAACACTGCCAGTGGTTCCGTTGATGTTTGCGTTGCACCTGCAGTGAGCAGCTCACAGTGGAGAATTCCGAATGGTCCGATTCAGGCAAGCCTGCTTCCTCGCCCACTCTCAGGGGTTTGCTGTCCGAGGTTGGAAGCTTCACCTGCGCACATGACGGCAGAAGGCATGTAAGCCAAGATAGCATGAAGAGATGATCTTGCGCGGCACGGTGCCTGTGCCGCGATAGCACCCGGTCTCAGGAAAATCTCAGCAATCTCCAATGCGGCTGGAAAGGATCCGCCTTCCGGTCCCCAATCCGTGCCAAAGTTAGCCAACACAGACTGCCGATTCACGCCACTTCTCCCTGGTGTCTTCTGTGCAAATGTTCCATCAATGAGAAGAGTCGGGCACCTGGGTTGCCTCGCAAATCAATAACGAGCTCCTGCGCACCCTCGCTTCGGACCTGTTCAAAACTCTTTCTGTCCAATGCCGCAAGAAGCTTTCTTCTGCTCAACACTCCTCGACACTTTGATAGCCTTACATGGTCCCTGCTAATGTTTCGTGTGGAGGGTGCGTTGATTCTCCACGCATGTAACCTGAACTCCAATGCCAGCAAGTGTGATCAGCTATCCCAGCAGGCTATCTGCCAGCACTTACTGGCACAGTGTGTTGGCATGCAAATGCTCTGGATGGCTCCTGTCTGAGATGCCTTTGCCAAAGCTGCCCGCAGGTCCACGGCGCTCCGAGCTCCCACGTTTCGGAGTCGGAAGTACCTTCACTGCACCCTTATAAACGGTGCCTTTTGCACTTTCTTTACGTGGCTCTCTTGTTCGGCTGGTTACAGGCCTCAAGGGCTGCCTCCCCCCGGGTTCAACATATTTGAGAAAGTGGTTGGCATCGGGGCCCCTGGTGCATATGGCAGCCAAAGGGGGCTGTCTCTCTCTTCTTTCTTCCGCTAGGGCTGTGGGCTCTTCTTCGACACTTTTTCTTTCGCCAGGGCTATGGTTCTCCCTCTCTCCTCCTTCTTTCTCTCTCTTCTGTAGGCGCACCCAATCTTGTGGTCGTTTCTTGCCGTCAGCACTCCTGACTCCACCTGGTTCAGTGGTTTCGCCTGTCTTGGCCTTTGCAAGCTCACCTGTCCAGGACCAAGCTGAGCTCTTCCAGTAAGCAAGTTGAGAATCGACTGGCCGATTGGTCGGATGCCTCACGAACTTCGGGGCTGTCAGGCGCATGAAGTTGCAGCTTCACCTGCACATGGCAACTCCAAGGCCGGCCATGCATGACACAGTCTTGACATCATCGAGTCCCGGCTTCAGCTGCATCTTCCTGCGCGACGCGGTCGCAAACAGCCAGCAGCGACATCCTTCAGCACACAGTGAGTGTATCTATGCCTATGCCTAGTCCACGCCTATGCAGCTTGGAGATACTGCACTGCCCTCGGCATCTCCCTGTCATGTCCGCAAAAGCGACGCTGCTTTCTGGAAACTTTTGTTCTGGCACGGCAGTATTGCGTTGTCTGCAAGCTTCGAGAAAGCTTGACCAGGAGAGCGGCTCTTTGAAACTCATGCCGTTGACTGAGTCGACGATGTCGCCCTGTTTGATGCCAGCCTAGCGACAACAACCCTACTTGCAAGTCCTCAAAGGAAAACAAGCACACTGTCGAAACAACGCCTGGTGACAACATGATGCCTTGCTGGGTGTTCACTCCTTGATGGCCTTCGAGGCAGAAGAACCGCCAAAAGGCGGGCTGCTTACAAAGACCTGGTCCAAGGACCAGTCTCAGAAAGCCAAGGAAAGGGAACACGTAAAGGGCGTGCCAAGCACCCTTTGTCACAGGGATTGTGAAGTCCATGCACCGTGCTCCATTATGCTGTCGAAACGCTTCGTGATTCTTCGTGTGTCTGAGCTAAGCGGAGGCGCAGAGGTGGACACGAAGTAGTAGTAGTAGTAGTAGTAGTAGTAGTCGTAGTCGTAGTCGTAGTAGTAGTAGTAGTAGTAGCAGCAGCAGCAGCAGCAGCAGTAGTAGTAGCAGCAACAGCAGCAAAACCAGCAGTAGTATCAAACAGAGAACAGTCAATGGTAGCAGCAATATGCGTTCGCGAAAAATTATTTATAAATGTCAAAACACGAAAAACGTGAAAGCGAAAACGCTAAAGACACGTCAGACGCGAAAAAACGCGAAAACATGAAAAAACGTGAAAGTGGCCAGAAACGCGAATACCGCGAAAATGAAAACAAAACGCGAAAAACGCGCGGGGAAAAACGCAAAAAACAACAAAAAAACGAAAGAATTCGAAAAACGCTAATAAATAGAAATAATAGTAATAATGATGGTATCAATAGTACAATATCAGGTTTCATGTTTTTCGATTTTCTCGCGTTGTTCGACTTTTCGTTTTGTTTCGTGCTTGTTCGTCTGTTTGACTTTTCGTGTTGTTCGACTTTTCGCGCGCTGCACGTGGACTCTGATAAAGCACGAGAGCAAAAGGCTCGCTTAGGCATTATGGGGAAGGCGAAGGCCATCAAATCAGCTTGGAGACAGCAGAGCCGGCATAGCAGATCATGGCCAGCATAGCAAATATGAACTGCGGCCTGCTTGGCGTCGTTGCGAGCCAGCACGAGCCCCACTCCGAGTGGATCAAAGGCCATCAGTTGCCTCGGTCGGAGAACTCTCCACACCCGGAGCTAACAAATTTAGGCCCCTGAGATTCCCTGTGACCGGGCAGATTCCCGTCCTTGCTCCTTGTCTGTCTGCCGTTGGCGTTGTAACGTCCACAGCTCGACTTGCTCTCTGAATGCCGTATGCGAGGAGTGTGGAGGAAAGTCCAGCGCCGAGTGTCAGCACATCCTACAGGGGAGCCGTAGCCAAAAGCAGTGCCATGTGTCATTGATACACTCAATGCCAGATGCCCCAAGGTGCTCAAAAGTGGCTGCATCGATGACACGGCCTCGGAAAGAATTGCATGCTGCTAAACAGCAAAGTCACGGTGCAACCAGCTTCCAAACCCTTCCACAAGTGTCAAGGGAGTTCTTGATGTTGGAAGTTGGTACCGTTTCGCCTGTCCCATACATCGACCGAAGACACTGGGATAATTACAAATACTGCCTGCCCCATTGCGAGAGATGCTCGGGTTTTACCAGCGAAACCTGCGCCTTCTGTTCACGAGCCAATTCCGGCACCGACGAAACTTCTGTTTTGCACTAAGCTGGCCAGCGCATGCCTGCTAAACCGTGAAGCCCCGCACAGAGTGCGGCCGCCCAGGCTACCACCAACAACTTGAAAATGACATTCAAACCCCTGCTTGGCTCTGCTTACTATATCGATCGAGCTTCGCCCAAGCAAAGACGGTTCACTGGACAGACACCTTATCTTGTGCTCTCGCATCCTTGCCAAGCAACTGTAGCGGTCGCCCAAAGAAGCGATCATCTCACGCACAATAGTTTCAGCACCTTGTCAGGTCGAAGGTTCCATGCTGAGAGATGTCTCGCCAATTTTACAGGCGTCGTGCAGGGCAGCGTGGGATCGGGTGGGTGAGGGAATCTCGACAGCCAGAACCGAATCTTGAACCGTGCACTGTGGTGCTGAGGGATGAACGCTGGCCTTTCTTCGCTCGGTCGAGGTACTGCTGATGTGCAGCTTCCCAATCTTGATTGTTGAAGCTTTGGTCAAAATAGTTTCCTGAGACAGAACTACCACGGATGCACAAGTCGAAACAGTGCATCGGCATGGCTACAATGTGGAAGGAACAGCCAACCTTTGCCGAGCCTCGCTTCACAAATCCCCAAGCCGCCTCGACGCTCTCTGCATCTGATGCCTTCATGCCACAACCGCAAGTTTGCAGAACATATGCTGCACGACCACGTCCGGAATCAGGAGGCAGAGTTCTATGGATCGATGTGCTCGCACAACTCTTGCCACCTTTCAGGCCTCTCGCGCGTAGACAGGTACAAACGGAGCAGCAGACAGAACCAGTCCTGGCAGTATACGGGTGAGCGCTGCACGTCATGATTCAAACGCATGTCCCGCATCACAGGTGCTCCAGCTAGTATCATGACGCTGCTGTCAGACAACCAGCATCATGCGTTGCCGTAGGCCCCAAACCGACCACCGCGGCCAGAAGCGAGACGGTGATTCTCGGGTGACCTGCAACAAGACCCTTGCTACATTATTTACATGCGACACTCGAACTGTAGCATACTGTAATCACAAGACGCGCTTTGGTACCATGCAATCATGCACGAAAGTTCAACGCGATCCCACATGCCTTGTGGCACCCTTGCTGAACTCAAACAGCTTCCCACCTTTACGTACAAAAGCATACAGCGCCCCATCTTGTGCCACCACCTACTAACTATGACCGAGACAAGAAGAACAATCGAAACAAGACCATCAGAACTACAGAGCCCCATGAATTCATAACTCCAAAGCTTTGACCCTCCTCCGACCAAGGTTTCGTGCACAGACCTGTGAAGCACCATCCTTTGCAACACCCCAAGACATGTTCAAAATACAAGTGTCCACGGACAAGCCCGGAACCACACACACACAAGCACATATCGGACCTTCGTCTGCAGCAGGTTGTACGACTTCTACATGGGGCAATCGCGTCCGTGATGGCGGTGCTCCACCGCCAGGACTGCAAAGTAGGATTCCCCGAGCTGTTTTGCATGGGCCCAACAATCTCAATCCAATACGGTGCAACTCGGTATGCCCACTTGCAACCAAGCAGCACAAACGGAAGCGCAACCACACAAGTAAGCGACACAAACAAGCCAAGCACAAGCAGGCTTTGCCACCGCTCCGCCCGATTCATGCTTTCTAACACCGTGGGTGTTTTACTAAAACTGCATCTTGTTGTGGATGTTCGAAGTCTCGTTTTGCCTGTAACGGTCTGCACAACTATCATCAGGCATGAGTGTTACGCACCGACACTCTATGATAACCACGCGAACAAGCGATTCCTGTTCAATTTCCAACCATTCAATCTTCAAACAGTGCTTTGCACTGTGTGGGCAATACTTGGAATCATCCAGGAAAAAACTGGTGGCTGGCGCAACTGCACAAAATAGGGCAAGAAATCTAAATTAGGAACCTTTTTCCCCCCCCTTCAACCCCTTCTTCTATTTTTCAAACTTCAACCTCCCTACTTCCGGCAAGGGCAGCTTCTCAAACCCCCTTCGAGAAGCTCCTCTTCTGGCCCTCCTTTGCCGAATTATGATGGAGCATGTCCCAACGTCTGTCCAACATGGCAACTTTTCGGCTTTGAAGAACAAAGGCTTTTTCACTTCGGAACATGTTTTATCTTTCAGACCTTTCAAAAGGATTCTGACTTGATCAAAGCTGGAAACGCTGAGAATGGTCAGAAACCTTCAATGACCGCGCGTATTGTATGCATGATGTGCAAACTGTTTCGAAACAACAGGTCAACGACTACTGTGGAGGCCCTTCGTCCGTGGCAACGTTTTCGAGCACTTTTCAACCCCCCCAAACCGGCCCTGCATTTGGGTGGTTGTTGCCACTTTGAGCTGATCCACATCTCAAACTTTTCGAAATTGGCAAGCTGTTCCGAAACTTCCAACCGTTACACCAAAAAAGTCAGAAGATGCACGTAAAAGACAGAATTCATTTTCCGATCGTAGGACATAGAAGACAAAACCAAAGCGCAGCAATTGGAGTAGCCAACACTTTGGAATCTAAGGATGCACATCTGCACACAATATGAAAACAACCGAGCTTTGCACTGCAATCAGCACCCATGCGCGGCGACAGGCGACGGATTTTGACGGACATCCTGCAGCGTCACGTCCGCCATGCCGTGCCCAGGCACCAAACTTCGCTGCAGGCCCTGCAAAAAAAGACGCCCACCAATTCGAAAAAAACATGGCATCCAAAACCCTGACCCTCCAGAAACGGGTCACTTGTCAAAACCGGCTGCAAGTCTCTGCCCCCACACCCCCCAACTCCACCCCAGCTCACCTCACGGGCACCCTGACTCCGCCAGACAAAAACCGTCCATGCATTTTTTGTGCTCTTTCTGTTTGTCTATAAGTGCATTTAGTTGTCTTATCTAAACCAACATCAAAATCTGTGTTTGTTCCATCTCTGCATTGCACATCTGTACACACTTACAACATTTGTTTCTATCCACAAACCAAAGTGCATCTTCTCATGTCCATGTCTGTGTACCCAAATGAACATGTATCCATGTGTGTGTGTATGTTCGTTTGCATTGAGAGAAAATGAAGGACCCAAAAGCACACTTGCTTCCACATCTAAGAAGTGCACATCACACTGATCCTTGAACACTGAACACACTCTACAAAGTCAAGATACTGGTCCTTCAAATCACAACCTCTCAACAACAATCACTGGCCACAATGCCTGTGTTCCCATACCTTACCAAAGTGCGAATGCACGCCTTTTTCAAAACACCGACGGTTGACTTTTCGCGACAATGACGCAAAAAAGAACACTTACGACTCCATGAAAGACTCCACATCAACTTGCTAGTTCAGGTGCACTGAGGTTTTTCGCAAAGAAGGTTCGAATGATAGGAACGACAACGAGAACTTCTAGGCATGTCCAGGAGCACCTGAAGAATCGCTCACTCAAAAACGAGATTTTGGGCTGGCCACGATAACGAAAAACCAACATAGAAAAAGACTTAATCTTCCAAAGTGCGCTTCTTGCACCAACATTCTATGCAAGCTATGCGTTGTGGTTCTGTTTTGAGAGGCCTTGCTTGGACATTGGTGCTTCAAGCCACAAGAGCGTGTCTGTGTCTTTCCACGTCCAGCAGTTTGTTGTTGTTAACAGAGACCAGCAATGCCTTTAAGTGAGGGTCCAATTCCTGCTTCCAGAAGCACCACATTCAAGAAACTGTAGTTGATCCCGGACTCAGATTTTGAGAAGCCAACTTTCGACTCTACATCAAATCCCACTACCACATTTTTTTGTTTTCAATCTTTCGAACGTTTCAAAGCACAAGCTGCTTTTAGCACTTGTTTCTGTTGGTGGGGAACGCACTTATTTTAAAGCTTGTTTTCTGAAACAAGAGATCTGTAGATGAGACCCGTCAAATTTGACAGATTGCTCTTTGCTTCCTGCACAGTCAAGCTGATGTGTTCTTCCCAATTCCAGACTCAAGATGCTGCTGGATTATGACCAAATCTGGATCAAAGCAGCACAGCAATCTATGTAGACTCAAGAGCGCTTGGAAGTGCATTGAGTTGATCTTTATCGTTGGGTGGCTCCCAAAAAAAAAACTTTAAGGTATCTCCGTCTTGCATGCGTTCCAGATACTCGCTTCTGCTTGCCCTGTGTAGGTACACCAAGTATCTTGATAGCGTTATTGTGCCCACATGAAAAGCAAAATGCAACTCCTATTAAAATCGTCTTAATGGCTCACAGTTTTTGACATGATGCAGATCTGGTTCCCGTGGTTTTTTGGGTATCGCTCGAAATGCCATAATCAAACATGCATATATAAAATGCCGCAATCTCAAGAAAAATCTGTTAAGGTTTCAGATTGATACAATTTCATGGCATTTCCGTGCTTCTATCACGTGCGGCAATCTCACACCTGCCTGAATTATCCGCGTATGTACATAGCATCCCATCGAAGATAATGAGTCATATCAAAATAGTGACTACAAATGATTGCATCTCATAATTGTCATAATTGTGGTACGCCGGGACCCCAAAAAAGCAGCAAAATGCACCGTACAGGGGTGGTGGGGCTCCTGTTCCCCTCCCTGCCCTCCTCTCCCTCTCTCTGTTTCTGTAGTGTTCTTTTCGTATTTCTGAACTGTGCACCCAGCACTGCCCTTTCTCACGGATTCGTGTTGGTTTTCGTATGATTTTTTCGCATGTTTTCCTAAGGATATAAAAAAAAATGCTGCCTCCTTTGGTCGATGGAGTTCCTACTGCGCCGAGAGAGGCTGTTCATGAACTCACAGACAACTTGTCAGCTCATTGTGATTTCAACGTCCAATGCACAGCTGAGCAGCCTCTTCTTGAGAACTGGAGGCCCAACGCAGTGGTAATGGTGATGGCTGAGATGGTGATGGCGGTGCAGGTGGTGGTGCTGCTGCTACTGTTGCTGCTTTTGAAACTGCTGAAGGTCAGGGTGAAGGATGAGGGAGGCGGTGATGCTGGACCGATGGGTTTGAATTGTTCACGGGCTTTTGTGGTGTTAGTTTAGTTTCATGCTAATGTCTAGCCAGTCCCATCAGAATCAGTGTCAAAGTCGTGTAAAAGTGTGAAACAGCCCCGGTAAAAGTATGCAAGCGGGGACGTGTCAGTATCCGAATGTATTGTAGTGTACCAGAACTACCCATATTGTAACGGTGTTTTCAATGTGTATTTTTTTTGTATGTTTTCATATCTGTTATTATGGGCCATATGTACAATCATATTTCCAGTTCGTATTTATATCGCATTTTTTCGCAAATAAATAGAACCCATGGAATGGCGTTTCTAAGGCTTGAAGAATGTTTCAAGTTTAGGGTTTAGGATGGTTTTTGACATTTTGGTGGGGTTTAGGGTTTAGGGTGGTCTTGAGATCTTGGTGGGTTTTAGGGTTTAAGGTTTGGGGTTTAGGGTTTGGGATGTGTCTGAGATTTCGGTGGGTTGTGGGTTTAGGGTTCAGGATGGGTCCTGGTATTTTGGTGGGTTGTAGGGCGCAGGTTCTTCATTAGGGGTGACCATGGACTGGGGGAAAGAGAGGCTGCGGAGCGTCTAACAGTCTAACCATGACACATGAGAAATGTGTGTATTTACACATAATCCGAGGATGTGACTGTTGAAAAACAATCGGAGATTTGAACAGGTTACGAAAATGGTGTGGATCGCCTCCTGCATACACTATCAGGGCTTTGACAGCCAAATAGCAATTCCAACGATTGTTCAGACGGTGTAGCCCATGGGAATTCTTCAAAGGAGGCTTGAACATGATTGAATCAATTCTGAAGGAGGGCTTGAGAAAGCCGTTGACACAGACAAGACACGAAGGGACACGCCGCAGTCACACGAGAAGCACAGCACCGAGGAGCCTTGGGGAAGCATACGGATTCGTGCGCGATGAGTATCTACCCAGGGCCTTCGCTACTCTTTCGGGTGATATGGAAACTTAGCATGAAAGGAGACTTCGAAACTCGCTGATGAAACCCACCCGATGCACAGGGGACATTTACTGGGAAGATGGAGCACCTGACAGTCAATATTGGCATGGAGCATGAAACTTCCGTGTGAGTCTTCAAGGGCTGCTGACGAGTGGTTTCACTTGTGGACACGCTCTGTGCGATTGAAAGAGAAAAAGAGAGCTTTGAACCTCTGAAACCTTAGACCTCCTCTTCCGACTCAATCCGGGCCCGTAAAAAGTTCTTTAAATGTGAGCCTAGCCTTTTTGTTAGTCACATCTTGGGTTATATTTATTTATATATATATGTATATATATATATAGGCACACATGCATACATACATACAGCGGCTAGTGTTTTGCGTTTTCTGTTTTAGCCCATTTCAAAAAAGCCCTTCGCGTGGGGACAATTGACAAGGAGAGAATGTTTATTTTGAGTTCAGTTGTCCCAGAGTCTGCAACATGAGATCGCATGTGCACCAGCAAAACAGCGCTTGAGGCCGTTCGTTGTTGAAAGGCGTGAAACTTTCTTCAGTTCGCCATGTTAGTTGTCAGATCATGCGCACTGTTTTGTGTCCGGTGGCTGCAGCATTTCGCAAAGTAGGCCCGTGTGCAAAGTGCCATGATGCAACCAACACGGCATCAGAAACCATTCCGACATGTGTTGTGCACAG